CTGAGAAATTAGGGTTTGAACCCTGAAGACTAGAGATTTGCTTTCCAGTTTCTGTGATCCAGGTTACTGTGCTGTAACCCTGTGCTGCTGGACAAATGAGAGCACATCTCTTCCCCTCTGCTGGCATGTTAAAAGAATATAATACTCCTGCTTTGATGGGAAAAGCTTAGCTATATGTATGGCAAGGACAGGGACCTGGATTGTGAGTACTAACCTTACCTATGTCCGAGGCCTCCAGAAACACGTGAGGGCAAAATACTGTGTTCACTGGTTGCTTATATAATATAGTTTGTGTCTCTGTTAAGTTTTGAAAAAGTCTTGCTGAATGATGCAACTCTCCCTGGCTTTGGTACTTAAGATCCTTTGGTACTTTGGATCCTTTTTATAGATCCTTTTGTGTGGAATCCCCTTTTTGTGCCCTGTTTTAGTGAAGACTCTGCTGCTTTGGGGTCTGCTACAACCAGAGCAAGCCACAGAACTTGCTAACCATGCTGCATAGTAGTGGTCTTGCTGTGGGACACTTAGAAAAGGAGGAATACCTGGGAATGGGCTGATCACCCAGCATGGTGTCAGAATTTAAAGTACTTTCTAGCTGGGAGTAGTATTGCTAGTGACCTCATCTACAAGAGTTTTCAGCTTGCAGCATCACAAGTTTGTGAGTGTATCTCCATTGCTTGCAGAAGAATGATCCCAGATCCCATAAGCACTTCATTATCTGCTGAACTGGTAGATCTCCAGAAAGTTTCAGCACTTTCTTCATTGAGGCAAGTATTTGTGAATGTAGAGGCCACGTTGGCTGGTAAGAAGTGGCTCTTGTGGGAGGTTAATGTGTGAGTTTCCTAATGTACGTTAGAAACACTGAGGAAATAAATATATATTTTTACATCTTCAATTACGATCTTAATGAAAGCATGAGATACTAAGCTGCCTAATAAAAAAGGTACTACAAAACACATGAATACAGCTAATTTAATATTTCAAATTCTGAGAATCCTGCTGCTGTTACAAATAAAACAAAAGTCTCTATTTTTATGTTTGAGTTTTTAATGAAGTAGTTAATAATAGTTTCTGGCATTTAAGGGCATTTGAAATGCTTGGTGGCTATTTCATTGCATGTTAAGTGTAATGTCAGTGACTGCCTGTTGGATTTTGGCTGTTACTGACATGCACTTTGGCAGAACAGTGTTCCAATAGTTTAGAGGTTGCTGTTGAGAAGATGGTTGTGAATACAGAGAATGTAGACTCCTCCTGTGCTAAGGTAGAAGGTATGTAATTTTTCAGATTACTCTTGTTAGAGATATGTTAAATGTTTGGATTTTCACCAGTCATCCAAAAGCCTCAAGATAGAAAAAACCTGTCTTGTTTCATGTGGTAACTTTCCCACCTTAGTTCCCCAAAGCTTAATTTGAAACCTACAGGTGAAGTTGTAAAAAGATAAAAAAATATTTTGCTAAAAGCTGCTTCTTTCCTTGGCTCAATAAACAACTAGGAAATTTTCCTCGATTAAAAGCTGTAGGGAGGGAGTTGCCTTTTTTTAAGCCTGATTTCCTAAGAAAATGTGATTTATGCTTTTTCCTTGTTTTCTCTCATTCTTTCCTTACATATTCACCAGTAGCTTTTGAAATAGTTGATCAGTTGTAGCCATGTTTGTAGGAGGGATGGAAATCACAGACCATAATGTTACCACTGGTTTTGGGAAAATGAGCAAGCTGGATATAGAGAAATGTGTCACTGCCCTCTCTTGAGTGAGACATAATGCAGTGGGATTTTGGTACTGACCTTTTATTTTTAACATGCACTGGGTCTGTGTTGGGTAGGAGACCAGGAGTTGTTTGTGTCATCAGGGCTTGAGGAGACAGGAGGAATATTGGGCTGTTTGGAAAGGGAGGGGGACCAACAATATCATAGTGTGACATTAAAGCAAAATAATAATGAAAATAATATTTTTCTGTCAGCATAAGAACAAAATACAGTATTTCCCAAATCAGATTTCCAGTAAGCCCACTCCTCTGTCTCGTAACACAGAGTTACTTGTGGAAAAGCAGGAACTGAATTTATGTCTAGAATGGCATTTCTCAGCTTCTTTCCTGTCTGGCCTGTATTTGCATTACTTATTTATCATAATAAACAGCAGACTGAAATCAACTTGGAGGTTTTTATGAAGTCTTAGTAGTGAAATGTAGCATGTCCTGCTGGTTGGTTTAGAAAAACTGAAAATCTTAGTAATGCTAAAAGTGAAGAAAACTTCATTAGCTTGTGCTGCTTTCGTTTCTAGAGAATTCTCTGCTGTATAATATAAAATATACTTGTCAAGACTCATAATCTTCACAAATTTTAATTTCTCGATTTTAAGTATTAAAATGGTCCATTTAAAAATATGATAACTAACTGCAAAATAGTTTTTTTATGCTTGTGCTTGTTTTAAAGTAGTTTTGATAGTAACAACAAATACTCTAAAGGAAACAGGGTTTTCCTCCACGGTGAGTAGAAAAGCAAGTAGCAGCATGAATCACAGCTTCCAAGAACTGTCAGAATAGAAATGCAGATTCTCTCTCTCTCTCTCTCTCTCTCTCTCACACACACACACACACACACACACACACTTTCCTGTCAGTTTTAATGTAGTAATGTGATTTAATAAAGTTTTCTTGCCATCCACAGCAGCAACATCCATTATGTGTAATCAAGCTACTACTAGCAGTTGTGTGTTTGAGAACTACTGTTCAGAGCTGGTATGGTAGTTCCACTGATAGCAATTTTACATATCATATATTTTTCTGGAACTGTTTATGTTGTTAAGATGTTCTACTTCATTTTTTAGTATAGTCTTTTTTTCCAGCTCAGAAGCATTAGCTAAACATTTTGTGCTGCCCTAGAGCTTTTCATGATGTTTCATAGATAATAAGATAGAGTTTCAGCCTTGAGAAGCTTGTGATCTGAATTTCACTGACATAGAAAATGATGACTGTGACCTCAGAAAGGGGGACAAGGATTCAAGTTAATAAGCGAGTCATAGTGAGTGAATTAAACAAATTCTCATTTCTAAGAAGATGATAAGATCGATCAGCAACAAGTAATATGAGAATATAGAAGCAGAAGGCAGCATAAAGCAAGTCCAAATAATATACATATTTGGAGGAAAGGAAGCAAAATATTTTTCAGGATCTGGAAAGCATAATGAGATCAGAAAAGTAGTCTGGATCAAGAGAAGGAGTAACTAGAAGGTTTAATGAAATAGAGCAGGAAAAAGATCTGTAGAAACTTACAGATTATGTTGATTGGTTTAGCTCTTCTGAAGAAAGAAAATGAGACAGGAAAATGATTTGAGAAAATGACAAACTGTTTTGATCAGTTTGGCAGGGAGGTTAGGACACAAATTCTACTAATAAGATATTTTTTTTAACCCTTTAAGAAATTTAGCTGTCACTTGAACTTGCTTTCAAAGTGAGTGGCAAAATAACAGGCATCTGTGCCTGAAAATTTCACTCAGGCATTCCTGTTCCTCTGTTGCTACCTTCTATTACACACAATTTTTCTGCAAGCTGGAGGACTTCATATGAATTTCAGTACAATTGAGAGTGGGGCTATAGAAGTTTTTACCATCAGTGGTGATTGACATACTACTGTTTTATCCAAGTCAAAAGGATTACAAACTTTTTTCACTAAAATAACTGAAATTGCTTTTCCAAATTATTTTAGTTAAATTTGTACTGCCTTTATATAGACAATTAGATTTATGGTTGATTTAGATTGAGTTACATTAAACTTTATGTTGTCAACAGAGGAACTAAAAATAATGTTTCGTAAACTGGCATACATTTTTTTAAAAATGTGCCTTAACTTCCTGCTCTATAGAATATATTTTGCCATTTCTTATCTACATGCTGGTATTTGATTCAAATCATTGATTTTTAACATTTCATATGTCATTTGACCACTTAGAAAAATACATATGTAGGTGTTAATGGTCTGTATTTCTTATCCCATTAGACTTGGCAGTAGATCTCCTTCAAACATTGGCATTCTTCTTCCCCAGGCTGACAGCTTCTTCTTTCTATGTTATATGTACTGGGAGACAAGGTGGTAAAGAACAGAGGTTTAGAAGTTACTTTGTTTTGGCTATTTTATGTCAAAGGAAATCCGTCAATCCTTGCATCCAATGGAAGGGAATAGATTTATGTATGCCTTAAAGGATGTGCTTTGCCACATGGGAGTGCTGAATAGAAAATATCAGCAGTGGGTCGGTCAGTAGCAGTAGATTTTTCCAGCAGGATTATCATCAGTTAGATGATATTACCAAGTTGGTGCATGTGAATTTAAAATACATCATGGTGTGTAGTAGTACAGAATTAATGAGCTGTAGCAGGTGGGGAGCTCTTTCTTCGTTGAATAAGTAGAGTGCTTGTGTATAAAAATCTGTTGTATAGTTAGCTTTTGCTCAGCACATCTTACTGTAATTGCTTTTTTGTTAGTGAGGGGAGTTTGATTGATAAGGGGAGTCTTGTGCTGTTTGCATGCATCTTCTCTGAGAGTTTCTAGTTGTGTGCTGAGGCAGTTCACGTGTGCTGTTTGAACCATAGTACACACAGTTAAGATTTTATTGATGCAGTTTCTTTCCAGAAGTTTGCATAGTGTATTATTAATGTTCTGCAAGGTCATAATACAATCTGAAGCAATTGTAATGCAATATTTGTAATATTGATGTTTTGTAGACATCATTACATCTGTAAATTTGGTGTTACCATTTGTCTCATGGGTTTGGATTTCAGACAGTGCTAGAGCTATGTAAAGGTGGTGTGCAATGTTGTAATACTCCTTCATGAGTATTTACATCATTCTCTTGAATAGAAAAATTAGAAAGTGAATTTTTTGACAATTTAAGGATGTGTATGAAATTACTGAAATGGCAGGAGAGAAAACAGAAATAATCAAGGGCTCATCCCCAAAAAGGTTTTTCAAACAGATTTTCATTAAATGATGGGTTTTCTGTTGTTTTTCAGAAGACCGTGCCAAAGAAGACTTTTACTCAGATGACATCACATTTGGACTACTAATGCTACCCACCCACTCTACAAGGCACAGTGTATTTCTAGGTAATTTAAGTAAGTATGTAGATATTATTGCTACTAGAACAGTAATGCTTTAAGGAGAAGCAGCTCTTTTTCAACCTCAGGCAAGGTAGACATTCCACTTCAATTTGAGATTTAAATTAATGGTGTGCGTGGGCAAGAATAAACTTCAAATAAGCTTTTTATAAGCTTTTATCCTGTACACTGGAGCATGGAATGAAACAACTGAACTGTACCTGAGCTGCCTTGGAAACTAGAAGGAAGAAAAAGCCCAGACCTTATGAAGGCACTGTCCCCAGCAGTGCAGCGTGCTAATGTTGCCTGTGGTTTCTGGAGACTAATCTAATATCTCTCCCAGGGATGTGTTGCAGTGAATGAGCATATGTGCTGCCATGCTCACTGCTTTTCTGAGTGTTTTTTTGTTTGTTTGTTTGGGTTTTTTGTGTGGTGTGGTTTTTTGTTTGTTTTGTTTTGTACTGGTTTTTTGGCTTTTTTTTTTGTTTTGGTTTGGATTTTTTTTTGCAGATGCTCTTGTTGAGGTGACTTAATACCCCATTCATGTAAGGATATAACAGAAGAATGCATCTTAAAGGGTTCAATTACCACTATCTCTCTTCACATGTCACCTTATTTATGAAAGAGTTGCTTTTCCCTGCTTCTTTGATTGGACACTGTGTACTGTCCAGCTGAGGATGGGCCAGGAGGTGCAGATTTTCATCTTTGCAAGATTTGTCCATCTTGTATCTTGCAGTAAGGTTGCTGATTGCTTTGTGCATGCAAAGAGGCAAGCACAGAGCAGCAGGGTAGTTTGTTTATGGTTCATCTTTTGAGCAACAAAGGGATTTTGATTCAGTGTATCATGAGGATCATGGCCATGGCCCTCTGTAGACTTCGTGTGTGTGTGTTTTTATGTTTCATCTTTCTAAGTAGGTATTATTTTTCAGATGTTCTGTTGTTTTTTTGACTGCGTCAAAACATACACTTTTATACTGGGTCAAAAAACCCCAAGAAATCAGTCTATTTATGTAGAGCAGACATTGTGCCAATCTTGTTGAAATGGGATTATTTTGTCTTGCTGGCAGAAAGCCTTCCTGTATTCCTAGTGGCTTATAATGCATTGGAGGTGCTTGGTCATACATGAAATATGGTCGTGAATGGAGTTACAGGTAGCAATGCTTGTAGTTAATGATGCTTTCTGTTACAGAACCCTGGTTTTAGTTGCTTATAATTTACTAAGACTTAAATCTCTGTTCTATGTCTCCTTCACCTAAAATTTGACCAAGCATCAGTTTGTGTCTGAGGATGAGTTTAGAGGGAGGAATGTACTGTTTTCTTGATGCAAAATGCAATGAAAATTTTGCCACTGGAAAAATAAAGCACCTGCGTATGCTGGAGCAAGCACTCAAGGTTTTAGGAGAAACAAATTGTTATGCTGCAATATTTTTTTCTGCTATCCCACTTACATTAGGCATCATGATAGATTTCTGAAAATATGTTTTGTACCAGTTCAATGAATTTCCTAAATCCATTTCATCTGTCCAAATCAGATGAGGTAGATATGTTCCAAATCCTTTTAGTCATAAGCAGACAGGGCTACTGAGCATGTTCTAGCTAGACTGTGAGAAGTAAACAGGTCTAATCTCCTTGACTCCATTGTAGTGTCAGGTATAAACACTGAGTAAGAAGATTTTCTTCTGTACTCTGTGCTTTTCCTTAACTTTATCATGCATGCACTGTTGATTTGGTCCTTCAAATTCTGCTTCAGCAGTATATTTTCATAACTGTTGTTGATTTTTTTTCCTTCAGTTTTTCTCTATTCTTAGCTTTTTCTCTTTATTGCTTTTATGTGAACATTCTCTAATGTTCAAGATCATTATTTTATCGTAATAATATTGATTTTTTTGGACAGTGCAGGCTGTGTGTGGTTAAAAGTTAGGAAATACTTCTTTTTGAGCAACCTGAAAACCTCTATGTGTTGTGCATCTTTGATATTACTTTTCAAGTAACATTTTTAAAACATGAAGACTGTATTTGTTCTGAAATGGAAAGGCAATATAATATACTTAAAATTTTCAGATTATGTACATGTGAAAATTTGTATAGTGTCATCTTTCTTAAAAGACAGTTTTTCTTTAGGAATTGCTCTAAAGAGATCTGATTTTTTTTGTTTTCATCTAAATTTAGCAAATGTAGAGAGAAGCCCATTCTTTCATTTGCAGAGTCTTCTGGAAATCTGTTTGGATCTTGTGTACTGAACGTCAGTGAAACTAGGTAAGTCTGAATATTTTGGTTATTCTAAGCAACTAATGAATTAATTGGATGTGAAAAAAAAAGGTTAAAAATCCTATTTGTAATTTACAGTTCTTGGAGAAACTCTGGCATATAACCTAAAATCTAGAGGATTAAATTATAATGTAAATTACATAGCCCAGAAAATAAAGGGCAGAGATTAAGCAGTATATTCCTGGCTTTACATCTTAGGTAAAAAGCTGTGTATACACCAAATATATTTTATCTAGTGTTTCTTTAATGAAGTTATTGTATTCCACAGATCCCTTGATGAGCTTCCCTTAGTATTTCTTTGTTCCTGTGGCTGTTCTCTGAGATGATGTTTAGAACCAGGCTAATTTCAGTCTTACAGTAGACTAATATTCCTGTGTCATTAATCTGATTTTTCTCAATTCCCATAGTTGGTTAGCACAGGATTTAGAGATCAATTTGAGTCATTGCAGTAAGCCCATGATCATCTTAACCCCTTTTAAATTTTGAGTTAGGGGAAGTTAAATCACAGTAGTAGTGCTTACAAACCTTTCTCAGATTATACTATCTGACTTTCCAGGGGAAAAACAATACTGACACCTCTGTCTAAAAGTTCAGAGATGCAAGAATATTTATGTTTCCCTTACTGTATTTAATAGCACAGGTAATAGGAGGAAATGAATAAATAAATGAGAGAAAGGCTGAAAGAAATAAGGTAGAAAGAAGAAGAGAAGTAAAATATTTGAAGTGAGAAAACAGGATCTAAAAGATGAAGTAAATAAGTGAAGAAAAGAGAAATGAAGCCTAAGAAATAGGGATATCTAGATTTATGTCTTCTGCTGAATTGTGGCACAGAGGAAATAAATTTTTTGTGGAACCCAGTAAATAGTCTTTTATCATGTTTTTGTTTTTCAATTGTGAGGCATTAAGAAGACTGCTTACAGAATTTTTCTGAAGTCTTTCAGTGCCATCAAGTATTCTGTTTATGACATGACATCTCTTTTGATTAGTCTGGTTTGAAAAGGTAGGGTTTAACTCCAATGTATGCATTACAATTGCGATTTGGATGATTAAAACTGCTTTGGAGAAAATCTCACTGTTGTCTCTCCTTACCATTTGCTTGGCTCAGTGTGTTTGAGCTATATTTCTTTCTCAGAACACTAGTCTGTGAGTTCTGCTGCAGGGGCAGAGTGCTGTTCTGTCTCTACTGGGGACATGGAGTTCTGCATCAATCATGAAATTCCTGGAAAAATTTGAATGGTCCATGTGATAGTGATGTTTGCTTCTGGAGACCAGATGAAATCTAATCCAAAATAAAGCCTCTTGAACAGCTAGCATAGGAGTGTCAGCACCAGCTGCTTTGATCTACTGATCCATTTCTAGGGTTTCAGATTACTTTCTAATGGGGACAGAGCCATAGTTGTTCACTTTGGTTATAGGTCAGTAGATGAGGGCAGTGAACCTCTAAGACATGTATCTATGCTTCAAGTACAGCCATGAGTTTGGGTGCTGATTTCGAAAAGTTTTGGAGTGCCAGAAATACTTCTTTTCAATTTTTGTAATATAAACTGTGTTGATGAGACAAATAAATTCTGTAAATGACAGTGGTTCAAACGATTAAATTGTACCTGCCTTTTGTAATTCTGGTGGATTAGTTGGTGTTTTTTCCGTGCTTGTATTTTTAAGTTGTTAAACAGAGGAGTCTTCTGATTTCTTTAATTTTATAATTTTTGTATAGAATTTGAAAATATGTATGCTTCCCACCCCAGGTGTTTTGCTTGAGCTGCTCATCTGCATTGATAAAACCCCAAGGCCAGTGTTTTATGGCAGTCATTAAGTAAGAGCAACACAAAAAATGAAAAAGAGATGGTCTTTGCAGGTTTTTGCAGTTATTACCCTTTTTTGTGCCTTAGCTGTCATGAATCATGACAGACTTTTTTTTTTGGCCTGGAATGAATTCCTCAGTTGTTAAGGTGTTGAAAATCTGAGTAATATTTAGGTGCTGGTGTTAAATCATTTTATCTTGAAATAGCAGTTGAAAGAGTAGTCTCCATCTGCCCTGTTTAATTTTAAGTTCAGAGTGTCCCAAGAATTTTGCATGCTTAACTGTAGTATAATATCTCACACATCTAAGCCAGTAATTAGGACTAAATTCAGCTATGTTTCTTGTTTATTAGATATTTGCAGAATCTCGACCTTGGCTTTCAGCATTTTCTCCAGAAAATTTCCAATATTCAATGAAGATTTCTGTTGATAGGGATGTTTCAACCTACTGTCTTTAAAAAGATAATCATTAATATCCACCCAAAACTATTAAGCTTGTAACAGCATAAGTAGCAGCAGCATTTTGAAACTGTTTGAAAAAAATCACTGGCTTTAATAAAAACAATGAAGTTATTTTCAGTATTATTTGATTTGTTCAGAATTGAGATATAAGCCTCAATTTAAACTGAAGAAAAATGTTGAGAGTCAAAATATGAGTTATAAGCCAGTAAGTTCTGAAGACTCCTCATGAAGTAATCTTGCCTTAAGAATATTTCACTGTTATGTTGAAGTGCTCTGTTTGTGTATTTTTCATGTATTTGGTATAAGTAAACTGTTTCAAGCTTGAATGAGTGCTTAAATACAGTACAGCTGTTTTTATTTCCATATTAGCATATAGCCTGAACATAAAATTCATCTTAGTTTCAGGATTTCCTTGAATATTGATAACTTTTGTTGTCCCATTCCTTAGTACCAGTGTTTCATGGGCCACTAGCAAGATCCTAGGTCTTTGAAACCATTCTCACAATGTGAGCAGAAGGGAATTAAATAAAACCTGATTGTAATTTTGTTTTTTTTTATAACTGATATATTCATTGTAGATTGAAATAGCTATAATACTTTTATAAATATTTCTTAGTGTTGCTTTTAGGGATTTAAGTGCTAGATGACCAAAGTCAGGTTTTGTTAATTGAGCAAAGAGCCCTGTGAGGGATAGAAGCACCCACTGGGAAGGGGCCTCTGTCCCAGCAGGGAGGGTCTCTGATGGTGGCAGTGACTGCCAGAGTGACTCCTGGACGGTCCAACAGGGAGCTCCCCTAAACCTTGGGATCTCAAGAGTGCAGAGAAGACTTTGAGGGGCAGGAAATGAGCATTCAGAAACAAGTATCTTGGTACACAGAAATAATGTTCTGTGAAAGAAAAACTTGGGAATTGTAGAAGATAAAAATTAAAAAATGGAGGAAGGGAGTTTAAAGGCACGCAAATGTAGCCCTAAGTAGTTGATACGATTTTTTTGTTGGGTATTTTAGATGGTAAAAAGGACTAATAGTTCTCACAGAAATCACTTTGAGGACACATTTGAAACTTTGTAGAGTTTATATGGGGTGTCAGAATAGAATCTGAATTTCCAAAAAAGGAGCTGTATTTTTGACCTTTCCCCACGCTTAATCTAATCCTGAAAATTCTTATCTTAAATATTGTAACTGCAAAGTTTTTAAGAGCTTGGTGTAGAATTTCCTGATAGGTTTTGTCTTTGAGTCAATAGCATGATCTTAAAATATTTTTGAAGGAATGGGAGACACATGACAGAATTTTACTATGAGCATTGAATTAGTCTACAAGGTATTAACAGGCTTCATTATGAAAATTCCCTGTGCCTGAAGAGTAATATTCTCATCATAATTAATCAATTTATTTACAATTAAATTGACTGGAACCAATATTTTGAAGGTGATACTGGTATATGAGAAGAAGGAATTTGTTGTTTGTCCTTTGCTGTTTCTTTGGTGATCCTCAGAAGGTGATTTCAGTAGGTTTTCTGGACTTAGCACAAGCTCTGAAGGTTTCAGAGGAGGGAGTGCATGCTTCTACTGCTCAGGAGAAGAAAGGAAAAGTGAGAAAATTTGTTATCTACATAAATAAGGTTTTAGAAACACAGGCTGTTAAAAATGTTAAATGTTAGTGTTACTTTAAACTATAATTTTTCTTAGAGCTTTGTTTCCTGAACATTCAGAAATTCAGTTGTGTTCAGTGCTCTAATGTTTGAATTAAGATATTCTTCCTTTATTTCCTTTTAAGAATATATGCAGAGTGATTATAGTAAAATTAAATTAAATTTAAATTATAGTAAAATTAAATTAAATTAAATTTTAAGTTGATTTTATATACTTTTTTTTCTGTTGCTGCATTGCTGTTTTTGATTAGTTCATGCAGCACTATCTCTTTTGTTACAAGAATGTAATTTTCTACCTGAACAAGTCCAATGTGACTGGATGCTGGCTGGTTTTATTTCCTTTGTAGCAGGGTGGCAAAAAGATACTTAGCATCTATATCCAAAGTGGTTACTGAGTGTTTTGCCGAAAGTTGCTAGGGACAATAAAACTAAACTTGTTTTTGTCTTAGTTTTGTTTATTCTTAAGCCAAAACAAGAGTTATTTCCTCTCTGTATCAATTGCAAAACTCTTCTGGTTTGTTGCTTTTTTGGGAGTTGTGTTTCTGTTTTGGTTTGGTTGGTTGGGTTTGTTTTTTCTTTTTTTTTTGGGGGGGGGGGGGGCGGGGTTCCTTTCCCTATTAAGGCACTTCTTGCCCTTGTGACATGAAGTACTTGTCCTTTATCTCAAGTCTTGCAACAGTAATTCCAGTTGAGCCCAGATTCTTCTGGGCTTCTTCTTTTCTTCTGACAAAAGAGTAACTCCAGTGTTTTCTTTAGTGAAATTAAAATCTAGCATTCTCTAAGTATAGTGTTGAGGATTTTTTCACAGTGTAAGCTTGTTTTTTCAATAACAGGTAGTTGTATTGAGGGATAAAGTGAAAGATCTGGCAGGCACTATAATGCTAGAAAATTAAGTTCTTTACTCCTGTTAAAGTCCTATTAACCATAGGAATATAATAGCAAGCATGCTAATACAGAAGTGTGTTTTGCCACATATTTTTTGGATAGAATCATAGGATTGGTTTGGACCTCAAAGATCATCCAGTTCCAACCCTCTCCTCCATGAGTAGGGAATGCCATTCACTTGATCAGGTTGCTCAGGATCACATCCAACCTGGCTTTGAACACTTCCAGGGATAGGCCATCCACAACTTCTCTGGAAAACCTGTTCCAATGCCTCAGCACCTTCTGAATAAAGAATTTTTTACTAGCATCTAATCTATATCTTTGCTCTTTTAGTTTTAAACTGTTCCTCTTTGTTCTGTATCTGCTTGTGTAAAAAGTTGCTCTCCCTCCTTTTTAAAAGCCCCCTTCCAAGTACTGGAAGGCTGCAGTGAGTTTTCTGTGGAGCCTTCTCTGCTTCAGGCTGGAGAACCTCAGCTCTCTCAGCCTGTCTTCCATAGGAGAGGTGCTCCAGTCTTCTGATCATCTTTGTGGCCTCCTCTGGGCTTGCTTTAACAGATCCATGTCTTTCTTGTGTTGAGGATCCGAGAGCTGGATACAGTCACCCCTTGTCACTGGCCTTGATCTGGAAATAGAGTCATTCACCACAACTCTCTGGCTGTGTCCATCCATCCAGTTAGTTTTCCCTCCAACAGTCCACCATTTAAACCTATGTCTCTCCAATTTGGTGAAAAAGATCTTGAGTGGGACCATGTCAAAAGCCTTACAGAAGTCTTTGGATGACATTGGTTGGTCTTAACCTTATCAGCTGTTGCTCCATCATAGAAGGCCACCAGATTGGTCAGGCATGATTTGCCCTCAGTAAAGCTGTGCTGGCTGTCTCTGATCACCTGCTTGTGTTGTATGTGCCTTAAAATTGCTTCCACGATCTTCCCAGACGCAGAGGTGAGGCTCATTGTTCTGTGGTTCCCTGGATCTTCATATCTCCCTTTTTTTAAAAAATAGGACTGATGTTTCTGTTATTCCAGTCAACAGGGTTTTTGTGTGACTGCCATGGCTTTTCAGGTATGATGGAGAGTGGCATGGCAACATCATCTCATCAGGTCCCATAGACTTGCCTATTCAGTTTCATCAGGTGGTCCCAAACCTGCTCTTCTCTTACAGTGGAAATACACTGAAATGACCATCCCCTAGTGCTTCCCATGTTTTGTTTTGTCCTTTTTTCAGTTACCTCATTCATTTTCCTTTTGTTACCATTTTCTGGTCTTCAAAATGATGTGCAGGACTTCTGGGAAAAGTGGTGGGTGGAGGTAGGGAGGAGGAGGAGCTGCTTGTTTGGTAATTTTTGACTTGGACTGCACTTCAGTGTTGTAGCTTAAAATTTTCCAACTGTCTTATTTTATGGAAATGTGAAGTCTCACTTCTTTCATTTTGAAGATGCTTCCAGTGAAATACACTGCCTACTCCATTTTTCAGGCAGGCAAACAGTCCACTCTTCACAAGAGCCTAACAGAATAATTTAGCTGTGCATGAGTCACCCATGCTGGGAAATTTAGGTACCAGAAGCACTTCCACAGCTGCACAGATCATGGATTGTGCAATCAACTTGTAAAAAGTAAAGTGGTGACTAGCACTAAATATTTTTAGACGTGTTTTTACTTACATGTATGCATTTCTGTGTGATATAGATAATTAAATTTCAAATAAAATATTGGCTTTCTAAAACACCTGTCATATATTCTTGGGCGTTGCTGTTAGCAACTGTTGTCAATTAAAAAAAAATTATGTCCATTTGGTATACCTGCACAATTTAAAGTGTTACAAGTAGTTGATGTTGGTATAAATCATTCATCAGATTGTCTTTGCTAGTTGAAGAGAGGAAATTTAATGTGGCCGTGGAAATGAGTGGTCAGAGTAATGATCAAAGGCTAACATTACACAAACTTTTGGCTTGATCAAGGAGATTGGTAAAAGTGCTTTCAAACAAAAGTAGCTGTTAGGGTGTGAAGTGCCTGGTCTCTATAGCCATGTAGTTACCTGTGTGGTCTGTGGGTATTGCTCTTGCTGTCTTTCATGTGGTAATTCTTTATCTGTGGACAGATTCAGAGGAAGTACTTAGTCTTACTTCTCCCACATTCTAGGTAGTAAATACCCTGACCATGAGTTAGGAATAAGTCTTTGTCTCCTATTTAGAGAAAACCAACCACAGAAAAGAGGGCAAAACAAGCGAAAAAAAAAAAAAACCAACCCAACAAAACAAAACCACCAACAAAAATCCCTTGAGTTCATTTTGTTTAGTTGTCTGGCATGTTTTTTAGTTGTCTGGAACTGGTGTGCTAGTTCCCCTCTGACCCCTCCCATCACTTTTTCATGTGGGCATAACTGAGCAGCAGGAAGATGTTTCTGGATAACTAGATAATTGTATCTAAAAGGAGTAAGTTGATGATATAAAATAATTTGATGTCTCTTAAAATTGATTTAAGACTCATAAGCTATATCCTTTATGGACTGTAAAGGGTGAGGATGAAGCAGGGCAGCAAGTAAGATTACAGCCATGGACTTCAGGAGAGCTAACTTCTGCCTCTTCAGGGATCTTCTTGAAAGAATCCCATGGGAACAGGAGTCCAAGAGAGCTGGTTGGCATTCAAGCATGACTCCTTTAAGGCTCAAGAACAATGAGCAAGAAGTTGGACAAAGGGGGCGGGAGACCTGCATGAATGAATAAAAAACTGTTGTCATTTTTCAAGTGTAATCAGGAAATACACAGGAAATGGAAGCAAGGGCAGACTGCTTGGAATCAATATAAAGTACTTGTCAAAGTAGAAACATGGCAGGAAGGGCCAAGACCCTCCTGAAATTAAATCTGATTGAGAATGTCAAGGACAACAAGAAGGGCTTCTTCAAATACATAAATAACAGAAGAAAAACCTAAGATAATGAGGGCCTCTTACTAAATGGAAAGGGACCCTGGTGACAGAGGGTGAAGAAAAGGTGCAGACAGTGAACAACATTTTTGCATTGTTCTTTACTGGCAAGACCAGCTCTCCAGAATATCTGACTCACGAGACCTGGGTAAAGGAATGTTGGAGGGAAGACTTTCCTTCAAGGAGGTCAAGGAGGATTGGGTTAGAGAACACCCAGGTAAATTGAACATTCACAAGTCTATAGGCCCTGATGGATTGCATCAGCAAGTGCTAAGAGAGCTGATGGACTCTATAATGAGGCTGCTCATGAGAGGTCAGGGCAATCAGGAGAAGTACCTGAGGACTGGAAGAAAGCAAATGTCACCCTGCTCTTCAGAAATGGCAAAAAGGAGAACCCAGAGAACTACTGAAGAGGAAGAAGAAGAAGAACTTCTTTACTGTGGAGGTGAACGAGCACAGGAGCAGATTTCCAGGGAGTCTTTGGAGTCTCCCTCACTGGAAGTACTCTGGAACTGTCTCGCACAACCCTGTGCACTGTGCTCTAGGATGACCATGCTTGAGCAGGGAGGTTGGATGGGGTGACCCACTGTGGTCCCTCCCAGCCTAAACCATTCTGTGATTCTGTCATAAAGGCATTAGGTGCAGAAATAATTTGCATCTCTTCTTACAGACCCTCTTGGTCAACTGTTGACTTTCTTGATTTCTGAAAGTTTCAGAATGGCATAATGAGAACACAGCAGGAAATTTTGACTGAAGTTTTCTCTTTCTTTATGTAAAAAGTAGAACTGGTCATTTGAATGTAAAAGCTAATAAATCTTAATTGGGTGGTTTTTTCTGGTCTAGGATTGAATTTTGGAAAGATTCAATTGTGTGAATTTCATTATCTCTTTTTAGCTTCCTTTCCCAACTTTTAAGACATACCTGCATGCTAAAAGTCTGGCAGTTGAAGTGCTCATGTAATATGTAGGTTCATGTATTTCAGGAAGAGTAATTGAGGTGGATAGCTGAGTGTTGTTGCAGTAATAACAACAATGATAAAGTCTCATTTTCTAAACTTAAGCCTGCATTTATATCAACACCAAACAGAAATTTTGCATGGAATGGAAGAAGAATTTTCTTGGTGTTACCTTGCTTTGAATGTGTAATAATTATGTCTGTTGAAATAGATAATTAATTTTCTCCAGGACAGTTTTCAAAAAGTAATTGACTTTCTGTATCTAGTCATTCTTCCCTTTTATTATTGGGGTAGAGGAAAACCAATGTTTGACTCTGATCTGTCTCATTTCTTGGTGAATTGCCATGTTTATTTTCCAGTATAGGAATTGAATGTTTAATAAATTTTTCCTCTTTGGTTTCATTTGTTAGGATTCTTCATAGTATTTTTGCTTTGATGAAAATGTGACAAACCGTTTTAGAAAAATTGATTGTTAAACTAACATTTGTGTGTGATATCAAACATCTAAAATTTATAATGCTCAGTTTCATAAATATGCACATTTTTAATTGGATTAATTATATCAAAGTGTTTTTAACTCCAGATAGATATATTGGTAGTGTTATTTTAAAGTTTTTTCTTTAAATTTCTGTTAATATTGAGAAATCATCAAGTAAAGATTTTTTTTATTGTCTGATAACTTTATTCTGTAGAAAAAATTATTTGTAGGTAGTAAATAATTTTATGGATAGTTATAATATTCAATGTGAATTTAAACTTCAGAATGTGTGTGTGTAATTTTGTCATCTTTTGAACTTTGGAAAAAACTTGTCAATTGTCTACCTTCTCAATTCCATCTAAGAGACTGGAAGAAGGAAGTTTGGTTTTATTTGTTCATTGTGAAATGTACCAAGTTTACATGTGTCCTGTTAGAGAATAGCAGACTGCAGATCTTAGACGATCTATTGCACTTTTTTCTTCAGCACAGTGAGCTTTAATTAAGGGTCTGTTCTTCAGTGGGTTAGCTGACTACAGGTTGTATCTTCTCAGCATTCCATCAAAGGAAATGGAGATTTCCGCAGGGATATGGAAGTTTTCAGTTTTGAATGGTAACACTAACAGGTTAGTAATTAGCTCATCTTGACCTAAACTCCTGTTGTGAAGTACTGGTTTTGTGTTAAGCACCATTTAAAGAGACAGTAGGAGTACTTTTAAGCCAGACTTGATTATGAAATATATATTGTATTTTAGATGTGCAAACACAACACATACTCAAGTCTAACCCATGGTACCGTATTATGGAACCAGGAGTGGGAGATGTAGCTAAGATGTTCCTGCTCTTTATAGAGGGGTAATGTTTCTTGGCTGTGCCAATTTTCAAAGATAGGTGGAGCCACACTTTTAAAATGTCTTCTTTATTATTTTGTTCTTATTAAAATTGTGTGATACGTGTATTCTTTTAAACACATAGTTTCATAAATCTGCTTCAGTATGTGACCAGAGCTAAAGGGATGTGCACCTCCAGTGGAAGCCAAGGAAGGGTGGGGCCTTAAAAAAATGGGAGCGAGTGGGATCATAACATGTAGCCACTGTCTTTTTTTGGACAGACTAGTTGCACATGATTTGCAAACATTATTTCTTTCACTCACTTTTACAGCTTTGTTATTGAAGGAAGGGAATCTCTTGTAAGGAACTGTATACAAATGACTGAGAAAATATTTTAAATGAGACTACGGAAGAATAATGGCTGGTTCTGATGGCTAGGTTACTAAATGCTGCCTTTCAAATTTATGTTATAAACTTGAGTTGGTACTATTTCTTATTGTCCTTTTTGTTTTTCTGATTTGGGGAGCTTGTTTATTGACGACTCCGAAAATTTGTATTGTATCACTTTCTTTTAGTATCTTTGTTAGTAGTTTGATGGAGGCACATAAACAACACCTCAGCTGTTTATAAGTGTGGTTAGCTGGAATCTTGGAAGGTGAAGATAACACAGCCTAGAAAGGGATGTAGGGGAAAAAGGCCTGGTAAGTGCTTCAGCACCCCACAGCCAAGAACCAATTATTAGACACCTGGCAACCTGCTGAGTGCTTTCCTGGTCACCCCCAGGGAACTGGAGGGAAGCCAGGCTCAGGCCAAGAGCCCAGATTGCTAGAGAATTCCTAATGAGGTAGCAGGTCTGAGGATGTTTGGAGAAGTCAGTTTGGTGAGTCAGAGACCAGATCAGTGGGATACATGGGCAAGTGTGGGCCAAGTTTGAATGTATTATAAAATAGTTTAGGCTGGAAGGCACCATAAAGATCATCTGGTTTCAATGTTTCCCTTTTTCCAGTCACCTGGAACTTAGCTCAATTGCCATGACTTTTCAAATAATATGGAGAATGGCTGTGCAAATACATCAACCAATTCCCTCAGGACTCCAGGATGCATCTTATCAGGTGTCATGGACTTAACGTATAATCAGGTTCCTCAGGTGATCACGAATCTGATCTTCCCTTACAGAGGAAGGGACTTTGTTCCTCTAGTTTCTGTCTTGCAGTCCATCCATTTAAGAAGGATAGGAAGAGAGGTTGCAAGCCAAGACTGAAGCAAAGAAGTTGTTGAGTACCTTAGCCTTCTCCTTATCTGTTGTTACCAGTTTACCAGCCTTGTTTAGTGGGTGTGTACACTTTCTTTGACCTTCCTTTTCTGGTTAATATAGCTATGGATGTTCTTTGTGTTATGCTTTGCATCCCTTGTCAAGTTCAGCTCCAGCTTCACCATGGCCTCCCTCATCCCATTCCTTCACAACTGGGCTGCATCCCTCTACTCTTCCCGGGATACCTGTCCTGGGACAGAGTAGAGGGATGCGTTTATGTCTTGCCCTTTAGTTTGACCAGCAGGCTCTTCTCATCCATGCTAGAGTCTTGTCTTCTTTGCCTGATTTCTTGTGCCTGGAGATCATTAGCTCTTGTGCTCTATGGAGGTCATCCTTACAGATCAGCCAGCTTGTTGCTCTCCCTTGTCCTTGAGGGCAGTTTCCCTGGGGTTCGTACTGGCTTGCTCCAGAGGCCTAACTTTACTGCTCACCTGATTCACATCCCTCTGGACTGCAAACTCCACCAGTGTGTAATCACTGTAACTCAGGTAAAGGTCTGAGGCTTACTAGAGCTTTCTTGCATGCATCTTCACTGCAGTCTGGGCCAGGATTAGGGAGCTGCACTATATCAGGGAGGGAGCTATGGGGCCATCTCTGTGTTGAGTAAGGGGAAGGAGATACAGACTGCAGAGGAGGGTAGAAGAGTGGCTGCAGAACAGCTGGTCAAGCAGAGATCAACCCAAATGATCTGGAGCAAAGGAGTGTCTTCTTTTTCTGTGAGCTAGAGAGATGGAAATTGCAAATGTGGTCAGTCCCAATTCCTAGAGAAATCTCTCTCCTGGTGGTGGGACAGTCTAATACACGAAGCATGCAGGAGAGAATTGCTTTTTCCTGTAAACCTCAGAATTAATTTTTCTATGAAGATATTATTTGCGGTGACTTTTGAGCAAATTTGTTTGAGCAGCTTGTTTAGGTCCATTACCTTGTTAGGGAGTAGACCAGGGCACATCTGTGTGACAAACCATTTCTAAGAACTTAACCTCTCTTTACCTCTGTTGTCATGTTTTCTGCTATTCAAGGGGATCTGTAGCCTCTTTTAGCTGCTGTGGACTATGTATGATGGTACACAAATAGTGTGCACTCTTTCAAATGTCATTATAAATCAAGTAAATTGGTGATATCACTAACTACTACCATAACAGGCCTTCTAACAGGCATGTAATCTCTCCTGTAGACTGCTTGGACTTACCCTCTTACCAAAAGTCCTTCAGTAGCAGATGTGAGGCTGCTATTCAGGTAATGGCAACCCACACCACCAGTCTTCTGTTCTACTGCACTTTCTCCACTATATATCCTTGAATACTCCTTGAGAAGGTGATGGACCTAAGGAAGCTGCTCATCCACAGCAGACTACTCATGGCCACTCAAAATTTTCCTATTAAAAGCCATCTGGGATCCATCCATGCTAGAAGCAGCCCTCTCATTGTTTGTCCTCTGAAGCACTGGAAGATGAACACCTGCTGCTATAGCATGTTTTATCTCAGAAAATGACATTTCTAGGATGTTGTCATCTCTTCTGTGCAAGCACAGACCAAAAACTGATTTATTGGTGTGGTAGAGGAAAGCTTGCAATATGTGACTGTTCCCAGCTGCTGGAATAACCAGCTCTTCAGCTGCAAAGTTTGAGCAGAGTTCCTTGAAGTTCCTTTAAGCCCCATCTTTTGTTTTTTTTTTTCCAATTGCCCTTTTTCTTTTTTTTTTGAGGTAAAAAAGGAGATAAAACCAGTATTTTCACAGACAGCCTTTGATCAGCAAGAAAAGATTAATCAGTCATTGCCCTAATTTGCTTTCTGTTGGTATATATACCATTGCAAGCAAAGGAGCAACTACCTTGAAAGCTGCTTACTTGTTCTATTAGGCCAAAATATATGTGATTAGATAGCAAGTGCTTATGGTTTACCTGTCTAAAGATCTCTTGCTCTACAGAATGCTATGGTTCCTGGAGAGAAATAAAGCAGGACAAATTTCTTCTTTTTCTTCTCCCCTCTACTCCACCTCCAAAAAAGAGGAAGGTAAAGAGAAAAATGTCTGGGCTGGAGGTGATCCAATGAAGCAAAAAGCAAAATGGACAATATGAATGATAGTGATGTTCTATTCTGGGCAGGAGATAATGGCTGGATCTCTGCTTGTCCTAATTATGATATGATGTCCTAGTAGAGTAAAACCCCAGAAATTCATTATCCAAGTGATCAGAAGCTCGTGGAAAGAAGTGTCAGAAAGGTTTATAATTATCTTCAGAATCTCTATAATGAACAGGGCTCCTGACACTGTGCTTACACTGGGAGTCAGGTTCTGCTCAGCTGTTTGCTCAGTGTGATGTTTCTGCTCTTGGTCTTTCTTACCCTGCTGAGTGACCAGTGTTAAGAGCTCTGCAGGGCACTGGGTGCTGTGGCTTTGATTCTTTAAACAAGATCTTCTCTACAGCTAATCCTCAATGATTTTAATAACTATTTTGCTCCCCTGGCAAAATTGGATTATAGCAGAGAAATCAGATTGTATTAAAGAAGTAAATCAATTTCTGTTTGAAGAAACTGTAGGGCTGGAAAACTGTATTGCTTCATATGTTTTTCCTGTGATAATCCTGGTGTAAAATTATTTGCCTTAATAATACAAGCCACCTCACATTATTTCTGGGGCTGGTAATCTGCAAAATCATCTAAGTATTACTTGTATGCCATGATATAAATTTTACATAAATCAAGGCATTTGTATAAAAATATTTTTTACAGTACAAGAGCAATACTTATTCTTCCTCAAAAATATTTTTCAGTGTTACCATTATGGTGAAGTGCTGGAGACATAGGGATTTCAGTTACTGGCTCTGTACAAAATGAAATACAGGCAATGCATTCACCATTGTCCCACTCATTTTTCAGTGCAATCCTGACAGAACATTTGTCATTAGCAAGACTGTACAGTAATTTCAGAGTTTGTTCAATCTTTGAATTTGTTTTCAATGTTTAATATTACCAATGTGCAATCCAATATTGTTAATAAAATTGGACTGAAGGTACTGAAATTTTTTCAGTCTAAAAAAATGGAATTCTTTATCAGATGGTGTTAACTTTATTACTTTATGTTGTATTATGACTTTTTACCCTGTAACTTATTGAGAACCTTTTTTATTTGGCCAAACAATGACTTGGGACCCAATAACTTATTGCCTTTCCGTGAGTGATAAGTCAGAATTTGCAGTATTGCTAGTTTTTGTAATTTTTCTACAGATTGAGCAATTTTGTGTAGTAATGGTTTGCACATCCATGGCAGTAACTAAGATTTTTGATTGAGGACCTCAGCTTCCTTTAAGATAGTAAGTTTCTAGCCACCTTGGTTACAGAAAAGTTGGTAAACATGCCTGAATGTGTTTAAAACACATAGTGTCAAGCGACAGACACACATAATTTATTTTTCTAAAAACTAATGAGTTATGGAGACAGAATGATGACCTTTGAACACTTATGGCTGCCAGTGCTGGCATGTAGGCGTTTTAACCTTTCTGCTGGCTTTCACATGCATGCCATTTCTACTGAGTTAGAGATCTATGTGGTTTTGGCAACAAAAGCTTTTCCACTGTGATTAGCTTCTCTTTTGGTCTGACTTAAGCTTGCTTGTGTTCTTTTATGATATATGCGTATTCCTCTCCTGCTTTTCTTAAAATCCCTTTTTGAAATATGTGTAAGAGCTCACTTTTTGAAATTATAAAAGATGGTTCTGTGATTAGGACCTGTAGAGTTTGTCTTAAGTGTGTAATTGTGATTTAAAAGAAATGCATCTCTACATACTGCAGAGAGGAGGTCTAAAATTTTCATCATTAGAACTCTGTTAGGCACTGGGTGAGAGTTGGCAGAGTTGTTCCACTCCAAGCAGTTTAAAAACACTGGTTTCATGTTGCAGACTTCCATGGGACTCATTGTCACTATTAATGTTTGCACTTGTCAAATGGAACAAAACAGAATAGGAGAGGAGGCTGTAAACACCTAAAAAAGTAGGTCAATGGGCCAGCAGGTTATTTGGCCAGGCAAGAATGAGTGGCTTCATTGAATCACATTGTAATTGTTTTTCTCCTGTTGGCAGATTGTTCTGCTATGCTTTAACTTTCTATGTTAATGTTTGCATCTGCATTTTAACCACTTGAGAACCTCTGTTAGGTGCAGGAGAAGGCACTCTTAACTTTTAAAATCAAATGAGTGGTAATTCTGGTGTTTTCCGTAAAAGTCATCAATGAATTTACAAATAGCATAACCTTAGTTTATAGGTTCCAGCTTCCTTTTTAGATTTTAATATACTTTAAAATAACATTTTTTAGAAATGGAGGAAGTACACGTTGTAGTGAATTTGTTTTATTTTCAGGACAGTAAGCAAGGCAGATAGAAACAGGGAGAGGGAAAAAACTGATTTAATGTAGCTTAAAAATGTGGAAAGCAGCATGGTTCAAGGGAAGTGACTATAAATGAAATGTAATGGTATAAAGAGACTGGAAGTAGGCAATCACTTATGTCAGTGCTGAGTTCTTGTTTGGAAGAAGTTCAGTTGTGAAGCAAGTTTGTGATACATTCTAGGAATTGATTTTGAAGTGGATTTTTAAACAAGGAGTTAATGGCTGTGTTTGAGGAAGAAGCAATAATGCAACTGGGCAACTTTGCTAGTTGTGAACAGCAGCAGCATTCTACACTTGCTGGAGTCCTGAGAATAATAATTCTGGAGACTTGGAGAGGAGATGTAACACAGAAAGCCAGAAGAGACCCTAATAAGACCTTCAGTGAAAAGATGTTTAAATAATGGTGTATAAATACACTTTGAAGGTAGTGTAAGTGGATGTGAAGAAGTACATGATATGAGTGATACCAAATTCAAAAGTGAAAAGGACATCAAGGCTGAAGATATAGGCATAAAGTGATAGCTTAAAGCCAAGATAAAACTGTGTCAGAATGTCTTGCTTATCAAGAAGAGCTTTAAAGCAATGTCAATTCAGATAGTAAAATACTTGAGCTAGTTTTGATAAGCAGAATATTGCATTTAGAGATTATGCTCGTTAAAACAATTGCTTGTCTTTATTATAAAATGAAGAAGTAGATAATTTTTAAATTCACTGATTTTCAAGTTCTTCATTGTTATTTTTTGACAGTTTGGAATTTATTTTCTGCTGAAGAGGATACCTCTAACTCCACATTGTTCTTCACGGGAGCCAGGTTTCATCCCTAAACCTCATACTTCAACAAGTCCCAAAGTGTAAAAGGTAAAACTGTGTTCTTATAATTGATAAGGTTCCCATGGCTTTCAGTTATCAACACTGATGGGCTGAGTAGCAGTGTTAAGTAGTGTCTTTTGCTCTCCAGACCATGACTGAATTTGAATCTTAGAAAATAGACATAGTCCTTTATTTACCTAGTGTTTGCTTTCAACTTGACTGGTTTTGGTGGCATTATCTCTGCAGTCTTATCCTTGGCATGTATAAGCACTGAGAGTGTTCAGAGTCTTGCAAATTTGGATGCAAAGAGAGAAGGGTCGGACCTTGAAAGGTGAGAAACCAGTGTGCTACAGGTGCATTTCCTGTACTTTTCAGTACTTTAAACGATTTGTCTTGGATACCAGATCTAGGTTGTCGGTTCTGACATAGAATCTATAGATTGTAATGAATGATTTTGTTGAATTCTGGGAATTGAGTGCTCTGTTAAAGTGAAAAATACTGACTTTTAAATTCTGATTCTGCATAGTGAATATGTCAGTTATGTCACAAGTAAAAGTTTTCTGTATTTAGCTGTACAGGTGGTTTTCTTTTGCAGATTAGGGAAAGTGTATAACTTGTCTTACAGAATTTCATGTTGCTCTTGATCCCTATAATTTTAGATGCAATTTCTGTATAAAAATTAACACAGAGCTAGAAGTGTAATTAGTGCATAGTTGTATTAGTGCTTACCATGTAAGCTAAATGAAAACAAGTTTATAGCTTTTGTCTTGATTGTAAACTTAGTTCCATGCCAGTCACAATAGTTAGCTTTTACTGCTGAGCAACCTGTCTCTTGTTGTGCACTTTTGTGAAAAATTGAAATAGACACTTCTTCACAATTCACTTTTCTCATGCCATTTATGGCTGGTTTTAAATGCCACAACTCTGTTACTTGGCAAAGTAATTTGGGGAATTTATTTTGTCAGTATGGCCAGTGCAGTTGTTATTTGGAAGAATTGGAGGGAAGAAGTGGTTTGCTGCCAGTGTGTCTTCATAGCACTAGATTTTGGAGGTGAAGGCAAGGCAGAGGTGGTCTATACTAATTGAAGAAGTGGGCCATTTGGGCAGAAACACCAGCATGCCTTGTGATATGCTTTGAAAGAGATTCTACTGCAACACAGCTCTCCTATTTACTTTCCTGCTGCACTCAAGTTATGAAACTTTCTGGTGAAAAATGCTATTCTTGTGAAGGAAACCCACACAGTATGTGGCTGTTGTAGATGCAGAGATAGTTTGGTTAATCACAAGCTTTCTTCCTCAGTTCACTCCTCAGGCTTTTGCTGCTGTATTTCTTGTGGTATTGACACTGCAAGTTCCACTGGTTTTAGTACTCTCAGAAACAAATCTTTTTCAGAAAATATTGAGTCACTAAATTAACTATTAAGTTTGTAGCCTGCTAAAAATTCCTGAAGATCGGCAAGTTCAGCTCTTATAAAACATGTTGCAAACAGTTGTTCCCTAATCAGTGCCAATGTTACAATCCTGCTGCTCCATTTGAGCAGCCTCTGAAAACTGACTTTTCATATGAAAGAAACAGGTTTAATTCTATTGGTTTATGTTTGAATTTAAGTTTAGCCTTTTCATAACCTGTGTTGTATTCCTTCTCTCACTATTAATATTTCATTCACATTCTTAAGTCAAAGTCAAATGCACATCTGGAAAACCAAAAACTTCCTGTCATGAGTAAGTGACTGCTTTAAGATATGGTCAGATTAAATTTCGCGCAGTACATAGATCACAGTCTAATCAGTATCTTGTTGTTATCTTTTTACATGTCTGTGACAACAATGTGCTCAAGAAAAAGTACAGTAAGAATAAATTATAGTTGTAAGCACTAAGTGCTTTCTGTTTGCAGTATTTCTAAATACAATGTACTGCTAAGTGTATTTAACATCTGTTCAGCCCTCAAACTTATGAGGGTACTTTAGGAAAAAGTTCAAATGTAAACTAAAAGCTATATCTGAATTCAGAGTCATAAAGTGGTCTGTATTGGTTTAGTACAGACTTATTTACTGCAGCCTTAATAATGTTCTCTTGAACTCTGTCATTTAAAATGAGGTATTAAGGCCCAGGTTATGCTGGTAATGGAGACTGCTTTAGAGAAGGTAGGAGGGCAGAGCAGAAGGCTGGAAGAGAGGGGAGGATTAGGAGCAAATGAAAATGTCAGTATGCTTTAACAAAGAACACATTTTTTTTCCCTCAGTCACATTTTGATATTTTTTCTTCTCTTACAGGCAAGCGTACAAATGTCTACCACAAGACTAAAGTGTGCTATGTTATGTTTTTTACCATAAGCACCCATAAAATGAGCTCCATTGCAGACAGGTATGTTAATAGATACGGAGAGTTTTGGGAGAATTACTGTTCAGTTCTTTAATAGTATTTTTTAATACAGTTAGTACATTTAGATGTTAACTTATGCAAAAATTAAAGAGTGAGGTTTTGGTTATTTTTGACAAAGTTAATTTGGTAGTTGCTAGATGTGTCATTTTGTAGTCACTGGAAATAGTGATTTCAATTGCCTGAGGTTAATCTTAAAATGCATTACTTGTTTTCAGTGTTGGAACAACATCTCTGCAAGCTGAGCTGATTTTTAGCGTTTACTTGAACTATTAATTTTTTAGTACTTCAGTTTTTGATTAAGAAAAGCAAATACATTTAAATGATTAGTGTTGCTGTAGATGATAGTAAAGTGACCTGCTAACCTATTTCAAGGGAAAAGTAATAGCTGAGGTATGTTTTCTGCTTGATTCCTTGAGCTGCACTCTCTTAGCAGCTTAGGTGAACATCTGTACTTAATATGCTGTATATTACCATTTTTGAGACTTTGGGAAATGAAACTTGCATCTAATTTGTGTCAAGTTAAACACAATTTAAAAGAAAAGAAGAAAAGCAAAAAGTAAAATTTCTATAATGCTAGTTTAGCTTGTCAGTTCTTCTAGTGAAATTCTGTGGCATCTCACTGCAGCTTCAGCCTTTTAAATATATGACTTGCTTCTACAAGCTTGATGTTTATGTAGTAGTATACAAAATAGTAACTTCCTAACATCACTGCTTATCATAATGTACAGTAAAATTGCCTGATGGTTTATAAATCAGAGAGATGAGATAAGCAATGTAGAAAAGTTACTTGGCTTAAGGGAAGGGAACATTAGGATAAGAAATTTCAGGGTAGACAGACAGAGCTCAGTGTGGACAGCACTAAACAGACTGAAAGCAGGGAGAAGTTAGAGAAATAACATGTGAAAGTCCATTATACAGCAGTTTTGGGAAACAGAAGAACAGTTTTGACTTCACTTTAAAGGCAAAAGGAAGTGAAACAAAGGAATTGTAGGAAGGATGCTGAGGCATCTTTAAAGGAAAACACATTCTTATTTTGGTATTTTAACACCTCTTTAGCAGTAGATGGACAGTTGTCAAGCTAAGAAAGTTATGTGATACTTATTGAGGAAGAAAATATAAAGAATAGTTACTGTTTAACATTTATATTAATTGTGTATTTATGAAATTAAATATGTGGATGAAGTATAGCATATTCCTTAGCACTCTTCCACTAATAGTATTTCAGAATTCAAGAAAAATACATATTCAGTAATTGGAATGGAAATTGTCAGTAAGTAAAAATAAATCACATATGTCCTCTCCCGTGTTTTCAAAAGGGAAAGGTAATGCAAGTAATCAAAAAGATACAAAACCATATTTAAGCATTGTTCAATTAAGTGTTTGTATAGGGCTGTAAGTTCTTTTGAGAAACAGTTGTGTCAGAAATAGAAGTTTTTTTTGCTTTTTCTTTAGTAAATGCAAACAGAACATAGAAGACTTAGCTCCAGGTTACTGATTATGGTCCTTGTGAGACATCACAGTAAGACAGTTGCTTTCTTGATGTAATGGAGATGATGATAGTGAATGGTCAGCTCTTTCCCCTTCCTCCTTCTTTGTTATTGGACTTTAAAGGAGAGGAATTTCCACTCCAACATTTATTTCTTTTTGTTTCTTTCAGAAATGATGGAAGCATTTTTGATGGGCTGGTGGAAGAAGATGACAAAGATAAAGCAAAAAGGTAAATTTCAAAGTTGCTTAAAGCTAAGAAAGGTTCTATACTTTAGGCTTTAACTTATCAGTGTGATTTCTAAACAATAAAATGGTTACTCCTAATTACAAGCATATTACTCAACAGCATTTCTTCTACTGTGATTTTTCAGGTATATTGTATATTTGTAATTGTGGTTCCGTTATTTGTGTTTTGTAAAAGGATATTTTATTCCAAAGGCTTCACTGCACTGTTCCTTGAGGAGGAAGCCATTCTTCAAAAATATTGTCTGAGATATGGAGTAGGTGTTTTTGTGACAGTTGTCACAGCAGAAATTCTAAAGGAAATTCTGTTTGCTTCAGGAACCTGGAAGTAGTATACAGCTTATAAGAAAGTCTCACAGTTTTTATAAAACATTTTCATATTTGCTTTTCAGAGTGTCTAGAAACAAGTCCGAAAAGAAACGTCGAGATCAGTTCAATGTGCTTATCAAAGAGTTGGGTTCCATGCTTCCAGGTAATGCTCGGAAGATGGATAAATCCACTGTGCTGCAGAAGAGCATTGACTTTTTACGGAAGCACAAAGGTAACAATAAATCTTATTTATAAATTCTTAATTTTTTAAGTGATGCATTATTACAAAAATATTAAAAATTTTGCAGCTTCTTTAAGGATTTTGTCAAAAAGTTGTGAAGCGCTTCTGGAGAAAGATATTCTTAAGATCATCTAGGTAGCAGAGATATAACTGTGTAAGAGCCAGGACTATTTGTTTTGTCTCATAGTTGTCAATGAAATCTGTTTCACAAAGAGAAGATTTATTTTTGAAATAACCACAAAGTTTTTTGTTCTGGACAGATGTTGGTGCAAGTTGTTAAAAGTTTTGCTTCACAGGAAAACTGCTGATCCCTTTGACTGGAAGTACTTGCTGGAAATACTTATTAGGTTATTTAGATAAGCCTGACTTGAACAGTTGATTTGTTGCTCTGGGTTCTACATGAAGCAAGATAAATCACTGAAAAGCTAGTCCAAGAGAAGTTAGTGCTCCTTCTTGTCATCTCAAGTGCCTACACACCTCACTGCTTAAACAAAGGTGATAAGGCAGTAGGGCATTGTGGTTTCCAGCAATGTTTCTGAGTTGGTTGCTTGACAAGAGAAAGTGAAGTACTGGGGCAGAGAGACCAGGAGTGTAGGCATTTTTGCATTTTTTTTCCTTTTAGCTGGGAAAAAATCTACAAATACATTAGCTAAACTTTTAAAGTTTTAAGATGTATGCATGGATGTATAAGCCACGGAGTGTATGTGTGTGTGTTGTTATTTAAAGGTCGTGTGAAATGTCAGAATGATCAATATCCTTGAACATCCTTGCTATGCTTTGTTCCTCTGGCTGTTTGCATCAGCTGATGGTGGGATATACCCAGATATGTTGTACTGAAGTTTATTACAGGTTGTTATTTCTGTCATGAAAAAAATTCTTCCACCAAGTGTATTCTTGTTTGTGGCTGTTAGATATTATATATATAAAAATATCCCTGTTCCTGCTCCTACACTTGTTCTTAATATGGCACCTTGTGGTTCACACTGCCAAAAATAAGATGAAAACTGAAGAAAATGGACTCCTTTGCTAATTCTTTAATTTCCTTGGATAATTTCTTGCAATACATACTGACTAAAAAGCAGTAGGGTCAAAAGAAGTAGCTATAAGGTTATAAAATAAGTAAAGCTATTAAGTGGATGAATAGTTATATAATTTTCAATAATATATGTGTCAATTTAAGGTATGAGAAATGTTTTTCCATGCCCTAGCATGTCTCTTCCATTAGTGTTGTGTTTCCAGTAACACCAAATGTGTACTGAATATTGCTATTAAAATTGTAAACATAACTCAAATGAAAAAGGAGGGGCTATAATTTATATGAGAATTCATAGATTTGGGGGTTTCCTTTCCAATTAAATATTGATTGTGCTGTTTTAATTTTCTGAGATACCTGTGTCTCATGACAAAAATAAAAGCCGTATGAAGGCCCCTCTTGTGTAAAATTTAGTTATTTAGGTTATAAGGCTTTGTGAAAATCAGTTCTGTTTCAAAATTATTTTATCTTACTGATTCCTGACACAAAACATAGAACAAATGTGTGTCAGCCAGCCAGCAGCACCAGTCATATTATTTTTTTCTTCAAAGTGCTTTCTGAGATTTGATTTTTTAATAAAGGGGCAAAAAGCAGCTCTGGAGATGGTTGCCTTTTAAGGCATGGCACTTCTGTCCTTCACTTGGTGTGACAGAATGCAGCTCTGTGTGACTGCACATATCATATTAAGTTCCCTAAAGCTCTGGCTCCAGTCCTTACTAGCATTGCTGTGCACTATTTTACATTAAAATGTTTTTGGACAAAGTGTTGGCAAAGTTCAGAAGAATATTTTATCTTCTGAAGTGCGTGGATATGTTACAATAAAGCTGAATGACCTAGCAATAAATGGATTGTTCAGCACTGAGTAGGTGCTTTATGGTTGAAATCCTACTGTGTTCAGCCATCAGGATTTAACTGCATTGCTTCTGGCTCTTTCTGGACTATCTCCACATTTCCAAGCTAGGTACTCTGGCACCAGCTCCAGATGAACTAGCTGAATTGGTTGTTGGCCAGTGTGGATTTCTCACTGGGAAAATACAGGAGGCTAAACATACTGAAATTATATCACTGGGAGCTTCTCTTTGACTAATACTGCCTGACATCTTTCTTTGAATTTGTAAACAAGAAATTTTTTAGAATTAGTAAATAATGAGGAATTTAACTGCAGGAAGAATAATTGCAAGTAGTAGACTGATACTCCTACAACTCAAAGAGAAATGGTACAGATCTTGGCTTGGCTAGCAATTTCTTTAGAGAATTCTCAGTGCTGGTGTAGACATACTTCAGATACAGAACTTGAAGACTGAAATTTAATGTGCAAGTTTGGTTATGCTCATTTTGTTACCTAGCTCTGGAACGTGGCTCTACTGTCATTTATCTATGAGTGCAACCTTCTGACAGAATTTCTAGGTATTTCTCTGAAGGTACCAAGTGAAACAGATTCTTTCTGTTGCTTTCTGTTTGCCTCTGTCATACTTGCTTTAATGATGGAAAATATAAAAGAACACCTGTACTTGTGCTATTTCAGAATGGTGTGTAAGAGGCGTGAACTTCAGCTTTTATTCAGCATAAATCCATTCTAGTGCAAAAGACAGACTTTTTAATTCTGAAGTAGGATGGTTATAAGGGCTAGAATGAGCCAGTGAATCAGACTTTCCCAGTTTAAAGTGAACATTATCTGTGTTCTGTGGAATGAATGCACTAAGTTCCTGGAATTTTGCCTCCACTTTGGTGGCAGAGCTTTTCATTTTTGTGTCCTTTGACTTGCCCTTCAGTGTTCAGTATCTTTGTGCTAACTGAAAAGCTACATTTGGAGTTATGCTTAGGTTTTATTTATTCTCCAGCCCACTCTTTCTGCTTTGTGCTGCCATTTCAAAACAGATTGGAAGAGCCTGATTAATTTCTATGTTTTGTGAGATCTGATAATTGGAAAGTCTTATTTGTTGTTTTTTTCACCTCTTCTTGCAGCTTTCCACTTTTGTCCAGTTTCTTGCATGACGTTGCTGTTGTTTGCTGTTCTTTTAGTTAAGTCTAAAGCTCTTTTATAAAGTTTTTCCCCTTCAGTGTGGTAAACAAAATTACAAACTGCTCCAGCCCTTTGCATATTTTAACTCAATTCCAGGTTTTCTGGCTCTTTAACCCACCTTAACTAAAACTCTAGCTTATGATCTTCGTGCAGATTTGTCCTTTAAAAATCAAAAACCTTAAAAATTGGTTTGGTTCTTTTGATTTGTCTGAATACTTAATTGCTTGTCCAAGATTGTTCTTAAAACCAGCACTTCTGTGATGCCCTTGTTATTCATCAAAACTGAAGCACTGTGAGGTCTCTCTTCTTGTTGTTCTGGTTATCGGTTGATAAGGAAGCATCACTTTCAGAACCCAGGGTCAGGCTTTGCTTAGCAGCTGTTGATTCTCTCACCTGTATATGGAAGTTAATCTATATACTTCTCAACTCCTTCAGGAATTTCTGCTTAATCTCTACTTCTGTGTCCAGGTTCATCTGTGTGTTTGTAACAGGTAGGAATTCTAGAGTGGAGACTGTCATACAGCACTTAACAATCTTGGTTGAAAAACTTCTCTTTTTTAAGTTTAACCAGAAAAGAGCAGGAAGAAGAGAAACAGCAATGACAATTTTTTTTTGCAAGGGTTAGAATGACAAGGATTTGCCAAGATACTTGAGCATTAGCCATTTAAATTACATAAACAGATTAGGAATTTTGGCTTTCTAAACCTTTGTAAACAACACTCTTAATAAAACATTTTATTACAGTCTCAGAGGAAAGCATAGTATTTTTTCATTATCAAAGTCCATTACTTCAGTATTACCTTGAAGCCTGACAGGGCTGCAGCACAAACTGGTTGAAGGAAAGAGAAAACAAATTTAATAATGACAGAGGAGAAGACATTTATTTTCTTTTTAAGGAGCAATATCTACATGTAATGAATGAACAGCAGAGGAGACTGGAGAACTTCTGCTGTTTCTTAACTGTGTATATGTAGTTTAGGGGAAAAAATGGCTTTTGGAAGTGTTAATCCTTACACTGTGTATGTGTTTGATTGTAGAAATTACTGCACAATCAGATGCCAGTGAAATTCGACAGGACTGGAAACCAACATTCCTTAGTAATGAAGAGTTCACACAGTTAATGTTAGAGGTATATTATTTCTGGTTTTTTGGCAGTAGAATAATTCCTCTCCAGGAGTCATTCCATTATGAAATTTTTCAGTTTGATGGCATGCCTTTTTATTCTCATATTTGGGTTGTAAGTATATGTTTTCATGAAGATAAACCATCAAAATTCCTATGTATTCAGAGTTTCAGAATTATGTTTCAGAAAAGCAGATTTTCTTTGAACTATATTTTCAATTAAATAAACATAGTAACAGAGCAAGACCGTAAATTAAGGTATTTGCTGTCCAAGTGGATATTTTAAATTATCAACATAAGGAAGGTACTAGAGAAAAAATTATTAGGCATAAGTTAAAAATCCTAATTATGAAAAAGGCATAACATATCCATGTAACTTGTGAGCAATAAGTAAGTGTTTTAATTTCTTTACTTGCTATGCTTTCCAAAACTTGTGAGAACATTACTTTGCTGAAGATTACTTGATTAGTTACAAAACTACAGAAAGAAACTTTAAGTATAAGCTATTTTTTCATTAAAAATGAGCATAAGTAATTTATATCTTGTTAGTGAAACAATTTTTAATAATAGTTAAAAATATTACAAATTAACAAAAACTTTTTTTATTTTCATTCCATAGTTAAACCTTTGCTTTGATGCACAGATACAAAAAAATTCAGGGTTTTGGCATTCAAAAAATATTTTAAAGAATCCTCTGATATAAGAGGTTTTTTCGAAGATGTGAGCTTTAAAATTTCCTGTTTAGAAATACAGTTCTGTCATCCTTTTGTTGGTACTTTTCAACTGACACATGTTGTATTCAGAGGAAAGAAATTTGAGTTCCGTAGAAGATAAGGCAGTCAATATTGTATCTCACAAGTTTTCAATAAAATCTCACTGCAAGTTTCTTTCTTTGAGATTGGGAATATTGAGATTTTTAAATACTAAAATTCATTGATTTTGCTGGCTGTTTTACTTGTTCTTCTCATAGTTTTCCCACATCTTCTTGCATTTGTCTCTAGCTCATTTTTATGAGCTTTCTGATGTCTAAAATGGTGACGGAATTAAAAATAACAGGAAGGCAGAGTGGGAGTTGGGGAAAACAGTGGCTGTCTATATATGTACTTGCTTCTGAAACCACAGATTATTTAACAACAGAACAGTATGGAAATTGTAATGCTTTTAGTGTAAAAATAAGATTAAGGATTTTTACATTCCCATTTCTGTAATAAACTAAAGTAAAATTGGTCTGTATTATTTTCTGTATTGAATATAGCTTAAAATTTGTAGTATGCTCTGTTTCTTTTTTATTTAACTGCCCATTATGTTTAATTTCAGGCTCTTGATGGTTTTTTTTTAGCAATTATGACAGATGGAAATATAATATATGTGTCTGAAAGTATAACTCCCTTACTTGAACATTTGCCAGTAAGTAACAAATTGCTTTCAGTAGCATATCGGTTTATCTGTAGTTGATTGGTGTTCTGATAGGAGTACTAATTAATTGTTGGCCTTTCTGGCTTTGTAGGACAGATATATGCTTTGTTTTAATGTTTCTGGTGTTTCTTTAGCACAACTGCTTCCTACTGGTCTGACTTCTATATTAAACATTTCCTTTGGAAATGCAGAATGCAGTCAGCACTGTGTTAGAAAGGATTATGAAGTGCCTAGCATCAGTTTCAGTGTAACTGAATTAACACAGTTGATTGCAGGAGACCCTTTAGAGTTCACAGCCTCTACATGAATCAGAAGAGTATTATGAAAGATCTAAATAATTGCAATTTTTTTAACTGCTTTTTTACTTCTTTTTTGTCAGAGCACTCTGATAAATACATTGGTGCTGGTTCTGCATTTTAAGTCAGTATATATTTTGGGTTTATCATACTCATTTGTCTTTAATCTGGGTGACATTGCTCACTGGTACATGTAACGTTTTAGTTTTTAAAGTTACCTTTGAATAATGTTACTCTGAAGTGAGGCAAATTAATTACTGTGAGCAGTTGATGAGATAAATTGAGTGCTTTTCTAGAAGAGAAGGACAAATTCTGTTTAAAGGTGAATTGTCTTACTGTGGTAAGAGACAAAATAAATTCTCTTAAGGTATGCATGATAACAGTCTGAGAATTTTTAAAAACATGCAGGTAATTGGGATTTTTAGTTTTTCTTTTAGTAGAATTTGCCAGGTTTTCAGAAACACATTTGTTTCTGGCGTTTAGGGGTGATTCATGAATTCTCAACATACATTTTATGATTCCTCTTTTTTGAATACTTAACCAAATGCATTTATGCATGTAGTAGTTGTTCAGTTTTGCTGCATCCATTCCTGCTGTTCACAGTTTTGTGTCCATAGCTGTGGAATTGATTATAAAATGCAGTAACTGGCAACTCATGCTCACCCAGCAGCTCACTCATCACCCCTCAGTGGGATGGGGGAGGCAGTTGGAAGGGTAAAAGTGAGAAAACTCATGGGCTGAGGTAAAGACAGTTTAATAGGTAAAGCAAAAGCCGTGTATGCAAGTGAGTCAAAGCCGGGAATTCATTTACCACTCCCCATGGGCCAGGCATATCAGAGTGAGGATTTTTTTCCTTGGGAAGTACTAATATGTATTCCAGCAGGTGGCTTTGTTGAGTCAGTAATGAACTGTGGCATTGTTTTGTATTAAAATAGTAGGCTTTGTGACATTGTACATCTTGAATTAATGCTTACTAAATCTTTTTCTTTCAGTCTGATCTTGTGGATCAGAGTGTATTTAATTTTATCCCAGAGGGGGAACATTCAGAAATTTATAAAATATTGTCTTCTCATCTGCTGGAAAGTGATTCCTTGACACCGGAATACTTAAAATGTAAGTAGTTATTTTTGGCTAACCCCTGTAGGCAGCTCAGCCCCACACAGCCACTCACTCACTCCTCTCAGTTCGACGGACAAAGAATCAGAAGAGTAAAAGTGACCAAACTTTTGGGTTGTGATAAAGGCAGATTAACAGGTGAAGTCAAAAGCTGTCTGCACAAGCAAAGCAAAATAAGGAATTAGTTTGCTCCATCTGTTCAGTAGGCAGTTGTTCAGCCATCTCTGGGAATGCAGGGTTATGTCATGTACAATGATTACTTGGGAGGACAAATGCCATAAACCCAGATGTCTTCCCCTTCCTCCTTTCCCTAGCTTTTATTGCTGACCACATGCCATACAGTGTGGAATATCCCTTCATTCAGCTCTCCCTGCTGTGTCCCCTCCCAGCTGCTGGTGCACCCCCAGCCTCCCCCCTAGTGGATCAGAGTCAGATAAAGAGAAGGCCTTTGCACTGTGGAAGGGCTGCTGAGCAGTAATGGACACATCCCAGTCTTAGCAGCACTGTTCTAGTCAAAATCCAAAACAGGGCACCATGTGAGCTGCTGTGTAGAAACTTAACCCTATCCCAGATAAAACCAGTACAGTGGTTGTGTTAAAACTATCTACTTGGAATTATACAGGATCAGTTTTTCCAGTGTTATTTAAGCAGACACATATACTTCAGCCCTGAAGAACAGAAGTGTTACTTTGTGTCACCCCTGTTCTAGAGTAGGATTTTCAAAGTTATGTTGCCTTTCAGTCTGTAAATTTCCTGTGTGACAGAAATGTTCATATTGTTTACAGAGCTTCTATTTAGACAATTTTAGCAATTGGCAAGTATAAATACATGGCAGCCTAATGGAGTTTGGGAGCGTGTGCTTTATTGAACTTAAGTTCAGGGCATTTTCTTTAATACCGCTTTAGGTCTCAGAGGTTTTCATGCCACTAATATTCAAGCCCTTTGTGCACAAAATCTAAAGGAGTTCTTTAGATTAGTTACTGTCATGCTGGTTAAAAGCAGCCAATGTTGATGCCTTATGATTTTACCCTTTACATTTTTCAAATCCTGTACGGCACTAGTGCATAACTCTAAACTCCATATAAAGTGTTAGTTAACTATTGGTCAGACAAAACAATCCGTCTAGGCCTGAGATTCAAGAACACCCTACAGTCTCAGGCCCCAAAAATTGTAAAGAAAAGTGAACTGGGGTGGGGGGAAGCAAACTGGGGGTATATGACTTCATTACCTGAAGCTGTAATTGGAGGATTAACCCCTTATATGTAAATGGACCAAATGTATATCTGTCTGAAAAACTCGTGACCATTGTCCATCTTGGGTGTATCCTCTGGAAGGCTTCTGACTGCCCAAGGTGTACCTGTTTGAAGGCCTTTTATAAATACCCACTTCATTCTTTTATTCTTGTCTAGCCTGTTCTAAGTAGCCACTCCAAGGCATCACTGTAGCTAGCTGTAATCACTACACTTACAGTATTTCAGTTGTATTCAGCTTAATTATTCCTGCATTTCATTTCATGTTGCATGTGTGCTTCATCAATCATATAGCCTATTACTTTGTTTATTTTTTTTCCTAGCAAAAAATCAGCTAGAATTCTGTTGCCATATGCTGCGAGGAACAATAGATCCAAAAGAGCAACCTACATATGAATATGTAAAATTTATAGGAAATTTCAAGTGTTTGAATCATGGTAAGTAATTTCAGCAGTGTTGGAATGGAAAACGTAGGCAGCTCCACAGCTAAACTGGCTTGGGACCATGGTGCCAAATGTAGGTGAACTAAAATCAGGCTTTCAAAAGAAGATCTTGAAGCAGTTTTGTTACTTCTGTATTGGTGTAATGGAAAAGAAGAAAAACTGCCTATCATGTATTACAGGTCTGTGTATTTGAATGCAAAATGTAGTAAATGTGGTTAATGCTTTAAATTAAGGAAAACTAGTATTCTGTAAAGCATTGTTCAAAAGAATGTAAGAGAAATTTAAGCAAATGCTTTAACATAAAGAATCTGAATTTAGTTCAGCATAAGCCATATTTAAGCAGGTGACTAACTTGAAGATCTGTGGTACTGAGTACCTGCAGTTCTCATTACACAGGCAACTGAGAAGGAAAATGTAGGTTTTCCCCCCATTTCAGTTCTGTGCTTCACTTGACAGGAATTACCACTCAGGTGAGTGGGTGAGCCCTACAGTTTTCCGCATTGAGTTCCTACTCCCTTCCACTGAAATTATTTTTATTAGCTATGTGTAATATTCTTTCTCTGTACTGTACTGCATCTCTAATCTGTTTGGCCAGGTTGTGCTGACTGTTGACTTGAGAAGCTTGTTTATTTGTCCAAGTGGGTTCTGCAGTGTGGTCAGTAGTAGATTCTTAGAAAGCTCACCCAAAATATTATGAAAACCAGCATGGTGTAAATAAATTTATGGGTTTTTTTATCTGATACCAGTGTTTCACAAAATGAGAAGAGGTTGGGTCTTAATGCAAATGCAGTTATGTAATATTATAGGAGACACAAGAAACAGTCCTGAAAAAGCCAAATATCATGCTAGTCCTGGAATGAGGAGTTAGGAAACTGCAGACCTATTGGTTGCAATTCAATATTTGGAAATACTCTGGTAAAAATAATTTAACTATATATGAATTTCAGGAAGCTAGCAGGGAATTGAATGGCAATCACTGTGGATTTTTCAGGTAGAAATAGCATCAAATCAGTTCAGCTTCCTCTACCAAAGAGTAACACACTGTGTGGATAAGAGGATAAAGCACAATGATGGACTTTCAATATATGTTTTTGTTATCATATTCTCTTCTCACAAACATATAAGGGAAGCACTTGTTAATTGAAATTGCTGGAAGGTAGCTGCAGGAACTGATTGAAAAGGTTAACCAGTGTTCACCATCAAAGTGCAGTTTTAATTGACAACTTCTAGATTTGATCAGTATTTTCATTAATGTTATGAACAATGGAACATAGTTTGCAGTTATGAAATAATCCACCAAAACCAACAGAAGAGTTCATCCCCAAATTAGAAAAGAAATTAATTTGGGCTAAAAACCCAGAAAAATTGACTAAGAAATAATGCAAGTTACTACATTTAGGAATATCAAACTATATGAACAGGGATAGTTGCAATCAGTTACATAGAAGTCCTTTAGGAAAAGGAGTTACTGTGGAATGTAAACTGAGCAAGACCAAATCACCTTGACCAGCCACCAGGCTGAGAAAATGCAAAAGCCTTTCTAAAATATAGTCTAAATCACATGAAATAATCCCACTGTACACTTAGCACAAGGCAAGATAAACTCTGAAGAACAAAGGACAAAGGCTAAGAAAAAAATAAAAGAAACTGCCTGTTTTCTTTCTGATAGAAAGAGCAAGGAGCTGTGAGATGAAATTGCATGAAGAAAGTTCAGTAGGAGTTCTAATCTAGAGCTGAATTAAAACCACTGGGGCTTTGGAAAGCCTTCAAAGTGATTTGAAATCACCATCTCTAGACCTTAGTAAATATAAACTAAATTGGTAACTGCTGGAAATGAAAGATAAGGTTACTCTGTTTTGAGGTCTAGTCCATCATTTGCCTCCTTTTGATTCCATCTCTATGATTCAATAAGTGGAATTTGTTCCCAGCTCAGTATCCTGATTCTTTCACTTCCATAATTGTGCCTTTGATTCTTCTGTTACTCGGTATGTCGTCAGCATGTGTTGCTTAAATGTGATAGAACGTCTAGAAAAGAAATACTTGCCTCAGAGTTCAAAAGAAAATAATAGCCAAAATATAAAGATATTTTTCAAGAAAGTGTAATCCAGTGATTTTTACCAGTTAGCAAGGATTAGAACTGTTACTAGTTCCTTAAAAATGCTCTGTCAGCAATAATATCGTAATAGTGGCAGTTCTAGTTCTTTGGGAAAGTCACTTGATGGTCATGTTCCCATTACTACTATGTAACTACTCCTACTACTGTGGTACTATTCCTGTGCATGTAAGTCTAGATATGATGGAGCATTTTTCTTAATGCCTGTTAAGTTACAAGCAAACCACAGATAAATATTGGGCCACTTATCTTCTGGTATTACTGCCATTTTGCTCCATACTTACACTGTCATGTGTGTTGTCATCTCCTCTGTCTGCCCACAGTTCCCAACTCAGCGCACAATGGTTTTGAAGGAACTATTCAGAGATCACACCGGCCTTCATATGAAGAGAAAGTTTGCTTTGTAGCCACAGTTAGATTAGCTACACCTCAATTTATCAAGGTATGTACAAATGAAATCACTTTGATATCATTCTTAAATGGACTCTAAATGGGAAAACTTCAGAGAGAATGCACACAACATTTGAAATACTAATGAAAACTGTAAGGAATCTGGTTATATGAAAGTGTCTGTTTCTTACTTGAAATAAACTAAGTTTTATGCAAAGTATCAAACAAAGTTGTGAACACTAATTTTAAATAGTAACATAAAAGAGAAATATGCATGAAATAAATTTCTAAGTCCACAGGAATATAATTTAGCAAGATTAACTTAAACAACATGAAAGATTACATTGAGATTCCACTTTCACTGGAGAAATGATTGATTTTAGTTGAAACTTGGATGTGAATTTTTTGTTGCTGGTGGTCTTTCTGCAGTTTGACACAAGTAAATCTCAGAGGGCTTAATGAAAGCTTACATTACTTGTCAGTAATGAAGAGTTAGGTTTGAGGTAATAGAAATCTTTTGTTTCAGTGCAGTTATTCAGAAACTCAGTAGTTTAAACCTACCGTTTTGCTTAGCTGCTAATGTACAATGTGAAGTTGCCTTTCCAAGTTTAGAATTGAATGCATATGATACTTGTAGTTCAATAAGTATAATCCTGTTTCTTTCCAGAACCAGTCAAAATAAATACTCAGGATAAAGTACAGTATAGTCTGTGATTGTGATTCCAATTACATGTTTCATACAAATGCATGAATCAAGGTTCAGGGTAGTTTGCTATGTGACATTTAGTTTTGCAATTCAGCTGTAAAGTAGTGCCATGAAATGTATGTGGCCCGATGTTAAACTACTGTAGTAGGCTGTAGTACAAGAACTCTTAACATTTAAACATTCTGCCTCTTAAGTTTAAAGCACTGATGTCTTGAGTTTAAGACTGTTGGTAGTAGCTTCTGAAGACATGGTTTATATACTTTGCACTTCAAAAGCGTAGTAGGGAGCCTGTGGAGAAATCATATAAACCTCTTCAGTTCTGTCAGGCTGAATAGGAATTTTGTGTCTCCAGACTCTATGCCAGAGAAAGTTTATTCTTTCTGAAGCTATGGAAATCTGTCATGTGACACTTTTCTTCCCATGCAGGTCTAAAAAATATTCTTCCTGTTATGCCTACAGTTGGTAGATATGTTATATGTGGGATTTTTGCTTCATGAAATAATTGTGGAAAAAAAGACCAACCTGACATTTGCAATTGCTTTTGTCTTTTAAAGTATGACAGTTCATAGTAAAACTTTTATATTTCCTACTTCTGGAAGCTGAGGAAGATCCATTTATGATCTTTAGGTGTCTCAGTCTCCTGCAGGCTAAAGCCTTACAGATTATTCTGTGGCCAAAGTTTCATTCCTGTACTTGAACCTCTGAGCCCTGTGTGCCCAAGGAAGCTTCCATGTTATAAAATTTTTAAGATCCTCCTGAGACTTTCAACCGATGCTGTTTATTTGGGAAATCTTTTGAAGATTTACATTAAAGAAGAAGACTCACATTAAAGAAGAAGACTTACATTAAAGACTTGATACCTTCTGTTATTATTGAGGCTAGCATTGACTAGACTTAAGCAAATTAGTGTCTGTCAGGAATTTTATGATCCCAGTAACTTCACTAACAAATGTGTGATGCAGCCAGTAAGGAGATGTGTGTTTCAATACTTGCCTTATTTAAGGTAGAACATTTCTGCTCATCTGTCATTTACTCTCTTTCTTTCAGTTGGCATATGGTTCCAGATTTTTTTTTTCTCAAATATAATTTCTCAGGATATGCAATGCTTTTTGCACATTTAAAGTTCACGTTTTTATTTTATGCATATGACTCTACCACTTCTGCAACAAAACATCTCACAAATTTTGCTCCCTAGTGAAGGCATTTGGTTGTACACATTCTTTAAAACATTTGTCTTGCATTTTGGCTAGTTGATGATTGCCTTCTATCAAGAAGGCAGGATTAATCGAGCCAAAAGGATTTTACCAGAATACTTTTTGTTACAAATGAAAGTCCTTTCTTTTCTAGATGCCTTGTTGACAACTTCAACAAGACGCCTTGTTGAACAAGCTGGCTTCTGCCCAGGGGTATTTTACAGTGGAATATCTGCAAATTAATAATATAAATGCATTGAGTAATTAGATACTAACCTGCTGCCATTTCCTCTCTAACCATTATGTTTTTACTGTGGTTTTACTGCCTGCATTCAGTGATTTTTACTTTTGTTTTGACTTGTGCCAAAATATTTAGATCAAAATAAGCAACAAATCAAAGGTATATCTCAAGGATATACTCTTGCTCTGTCATTTCTCTTAGTTTGAGTGGTGCTTTATTAAATGCTGTAATTTTAGGAAAGTAGATGAGCTTTGGGTTCTAGGGATAGTTTCAGGTTTGAAGCTTAAGTCTTGCTGTCTGGAGTTAACATCAACAGTCATAAATTTGTGCCCAGAGTTGTTAAGTTCAGTGCCTCCATCTAATTCATCCACCGTTCCATCATTTTCTAAGTCATTGTCTTTAGATTTTACAGTGATGAACGTGAGGGAAAAACATTGCCTAGATATGGTCACTTTTTCCTTTTATAGGAAGAAAACTTAGATCTATTTAAAAAACTGTAAAATATGCAATTAAACTCCTTGGATTACAACCTGAAAGAATGAAAAGAAAGGTGGTCCCTCTGTTGGTCTTCTGCTGTATTTTTCTGCAGGACTACTTTAGTTACAGATGTTTTCAGGGCAGCAGTGTGCTTGTCTCTCCACACTTGTTATGAGTATTATGTCAGTGTAGCAGCAGCTTCCACATTGCAGTTTAGGAAACTCTTTTACCTGATCATCAATAGATTCCAGTGTGCTCCTGGCACTGGAAATGCCATTGCAAGCTCCTGCAAATGACAAATGTGTACAGGTGTCCAAAAGAGAAACATTTACTTATCTCTTAATTTTAATGTAATTCTTTGAGGTGTGTATTTGTGTGCATGTATTCCATCATCCATCTTCCTTCTCCTAAGGCAGTACTAGAGGAGTTTGCAAAGGAATTGGTTGGCTTGGGGTGCGTGGTGTTGTGACTGTCTCTGCACAAGGCACAATCCTCAGTGGGGCATATTTACCTTTCTTGAAGGGGACAGTAGATGTTGACAGTAGAAGTCAGCTGAAGTTGTCTGAATACATTTGAGTGGAATACATTTAGAAGTATGTGCAGAATACCTTAAGATTCTGTTGTAATGGAAATACAGCTGTTCTCTTACTTTTCATGAGTTCTAAACATAAGAATAGTGTGTTATTTGTAGTACATGTCTGTGCACTCAAAGAGATTCAGAGTACTTTGTGTTCACTAAAGGGAAGAATCATATTCCTAAACTCAGAGTAATGAGACCATTTTACTAATGTTGGGTTTTACCCATTAAAAACACAGACTATAATCAGACTGGTGGGAATGTTTCATCTCTTCTTTTGAGTGTTACAATTTAAAAGCATAACTGCAGGAACTATGGATTTCTTCTTGTACTACTGTGTTTGTAGATATTCCATTTGAGTTTATTCTCATGACATGGTTAGTCCATTTAAATCAACCAAGCATCAGCTTGGCACAGTTGAGATTAGATTCAGATTAGATTCTACCTCAGTACTGTGCGTCTAAACAAGCAAAACCAAGGAAGCTGTCTAAAAATAACATTATAACTATTGCGGAATTATCTACTAACTTTAGGTATGTCTGAATTTTGAAAGAGCTTAGGTACTAGAATAGAGCAGTTTTAAGAGATTCTTAATTTTTCCCTTTTTAGGAAATGTGCACTGTTGAAGAACCCAATGAAGAGTTCACATCTAGACACAGCTTAGAATGGAAGTTCCTATTCTTGGATCACAGGTGCAGTTCCTTCTGTGTAGGAGCAATAGCGGCTGAATCACAGTGGTGGCTGTAGTATTTGGAGTTCACTAATCTGCATTAACTGCTCATAGCTTGTGTTGGGTTTAATTTTTTAATTTTCTTTGGAGCATATACTGTAAACAAGAAAGCTTATATAATTAGTTCTGATTTGTTAGAGATGTGTGTGAAAATAACATTAATTTTTTTTTTATTAATTAGGGCACCTCCGATAATAGGTTATCTTCCATTTGAAGTTTTGGGAACATCAGGCTATGATTATTATCATGTGGATGATCTAGATAATCTGGCAAAATGTCATGAGCATTGTGAGTACAACCAAGTCACTAAAAGGAGCAAAGTTGTTACATTGATCACTTGTTCTGGTGAAATTTTGTGATATTTTGAATGAAGTGTCTTTATTCCCGTTTGTTTGACATTATTATACTGCTGTTCCATATCTTCTTTTCTTTTGATACAGAACTACAAAACAGATATAACTCTATCTTACAATTCTAGGGTTTCATTGTGGTAAACTGGAGTGCACAGCTCTATGACTAATACTTTTCCAGTTCTTCCAATGGCATTTAAAAGGCTTTATAATGTTGAATAAGTGGAAAGGCTGGTGGAAAATTTTTGAACCTGTTCTTGGTCGTTGTTTTAATCCTGGATTTAGACATGGGTTTGGGCTATATGAACCTGGGGAATAATATTCTTTTAATGTAATTGGAGTATTTACAACCTGGCAAGACAGTAAACTTTATTCTTCATCTTCACAGTAATGCAATATGGGAAAGGGAAGTCATGTTACTACAGATTCCTTACAAAGGGACAGCAATGGATTTGGCTGCAAACTCACTACTATATCACGTATCACCAGTGGAATTCCAGGCCAGAGTTTATTGTCTGTACGCACACTGTTGTAAGGTAGGTTATTTCTTAAAGTAATCCTAGTGTTATGGGAGCTATCTTGATTGTATTTTGGGGGTAGAGAAATTATAGCAGTGTGAAGAATCACTAGAGAACTTCTTGAGATACTTTATAAGCAAGATGGGTTTGAGGAGTTTGGTCTTTGAGGTGTATTTTTCAAATCATCCTATGATATAGTGGTTATCTTTGGTTTGTTCTTCTAGTTATGCAGAAGTTAGAGCAGAAAGACGACGAGAACTTGGTATTGAGGAATCTCTCCCAGAGATAACAGCAGACAAAGTGAGTATTTTATATAATCTTATTTTACATCTTCACATACTAAACAAAATATGCAAGCAAATATATCGCAGCAAATAGTGTTTTATCCCCCAGGAAAGTAAATATTTGATCTCTAAATAATGTGACTATGGAAAATTATCAAGGAATAATTGATAATTATTTAACTCTGTTTAACTCTGCCTGTAACACCCTTATCTTTTCAGGAATTAATGTGCATGTAGTTATAACAGTTATAACACCCATAAGTTTTTATTAAGATCTGATTTCTGCAGTGTAAGATTTCTAAAAAAATGGTCTCCCTTACTGGAAGTACCCATAATCTGAAAACCAAGATCAACACACCAAGAAGGAATTCACAATAGGAAAGTAGAAGCTGTTTAATTGTGTGACTCTATCTAGCTTCTTAAAAGTATACAAAATTTGTCTTGAATTAATGTCCTTGGAAGCTCAATGAGTCTTATCAGCTTGTGGAGATGATCTGACATGTTTTACTCTGACAGTTCAGAAATGTTTTCCTTTGGCAGTTTCACAAGTTTAATCTGTCAGTGCTCCTAATGGAACAAACTCATCCTTTCTCAAAAGAATAAGCAGTTCACTCATTACACTGTTGTTCAGAGTGAAATGAGTGGCTACAGAAGGAGCTCAGCTCAGTAGTCAGTTTGTGGCCTAAGTCTGCATGCATTTTGGTTTCTGGGCTTATATAGCTTTGGCTTCCAAGGATAAAAGCCTCAAATGGAAATAGAGATTACAGCCATCAAACAGGTCACTACTTCTGCATGGTCACCTGTGTGAGGGGGTTGATTAGAAACAAAAAGGTCTGAGATATTTTCTAACAGAAATATGCATTGTGCTGGATTAGATAAATTATTGGTTTTTTATGTGTGTCTCTTCAGAGTCAGGACTCTGGGTCTGACAATCACATAAACACAGTGAGTCTCAAAGAAGCACTGGAAAGGTTTGATACCAGCCCCACACCTTCTGCTTCCTCCAGGAGTTCAAGAAAATCTTCACATACTGCAGTATCGGATCATTCATGTAAGCACCAACTATTGAAAACAAAATTGCTTTCATTATGAGGGCTTTCTCTACTTAATTTTATTAAATGCATAACTGGCAGTTAATAATCATTTTATGAAAAGTGTGCAGGTGAAAATACCCTTTGTGATGGTTCAGAGATCTGCAGACTACTCTGAAAAAGACTTTTACTTCTAGAGTACAATATCAGACACTAGTACACCCTATTTCAATCCATCAGACTGGTGGATAGTCAAGGGGAAAAAAAAAGTCCAAGCCTTTACAGTTCTTTTATTATTAAAAGCTTCCTGTAATTAGATTGTTGCATTACAGAATTGAGATAGCAGTTAAGATGTTTCTTTTTGTTCTATCTCTCAACATTGTCAGCAACACCAACTAAAATGACAGTGGACACTAGCACTCCTCCAAGGCAAGGCTTATCTGGTCATGAAAAGACTGCGCAAAGAAGATCATCTCTGAGCAGTCAGGTAACTTCAGAGAGGAATGTTGTACTTTAGAGTGGAGTTCACCTTTAAAAGCTTTTATTAAATCCATATAAGCTTTGTTTTATTTCTTCTAAAAACATAGTTTAAACTTTAAGAGTTTTTCTTGGAATACGCGTCTTAGAATTGCATCATCGGTATTGGTGTAGTAGATTTTAAAGGAACACAATAATTAAGCCTATATGTATTTAGGTTTTGTCATTAGGATTTAAAAGAATGTGAATGAATCTCTGCTTTCACTCACGCAGAACTTCTTTCTATGATTCTGGATTTTTAATACACACATATATACGTGTAAAATTGCCAGTGTAATGCTATGTGTGTCCCTGTAGAGAACTCAAACAAATCTATGACTTAAGAATATTAGTGAATACTTCGATATCCTTTCTGAAATCTTGGTAGTATGAGAAATTGTCATGCCTCATGTACTTGGTGCATGTTTTCCTGTTGAACTAATACTTTCACTTCATAAACAGAATGCTTATTAAATATGCATTACAATATTATATATATTAATATATCTAGATTTCTATTAATATAGAAATATAATATATAATAGTTCTAAAAATCATTAGTTTAAGAATAAATCAAAGGTGTCAACTTCCAAACATGTTGAAATTGAGACTTCTGAAATACTTCTTGTTGTAATTTCTGTTTTTCTGCTTATATATATTTTTAACAGTAGAAAAATTATGTATATATTATGTAGATAATCAATTGGTTTTGTTTTCTTAATTCTTAATAACTAAGGTTAGATATTTCAGAAAACAATTTACTAGTTTATATTATATGTTCATATAATGCTGTTTTGAATTTGACTCTTTAAAGAAATACTTCATGTCAAATATGAAGTTCATTCTCTTATGATTATGGAACAATTTTTTTTTAATCCTAGTCTTTAAGCTCACAGTCTCTTGGACAACCAGTAACACAGCCAGCAATATCTCAGCCTGCAACTTTACAGCTCCAGTCTGGAATGACTCAGGTATGGATTAACTCAATTTATTGTTTGCTATTTTTTAAACAGTCTTGTTCTCCTGCAGTAATGGGCTGCCTGTGGCTTGGGTGGATGCACTGTTCACTGAGAAAAAAACAGTTTGGATGGCCAGGCCCAGAGAGTGGTGGTGAATGGAGTTACATCCACCTGGCAGCCAGTCACAAGTGGGGTTCCAGAGGGCTGAGTATTGGGGCCAATCCAGTTTAATATATTTATTGATGATATGGACAAAGGGATTGAGGTCACCATCAGTGAGTTTGCAGATGACACCCAGTTGGGTGAGAGTGTTCATCTGCTGGAGGGCAAGGAGGCTCTGCAGAGGGATCTGGACAGGCTGGATCCATAGGCAAAGAAATTGAGTCCTTTGGTGCCAAATTATTCTCTTGAAATGAGCAAATTCTGTAATTTGACACTTTTGCTTTAGTTTTTTCTTCCTGTTATTTGTATGGATATAGTTTTCAGCCTTGTGCATTAGCAACATAGATATAAAAACAGTTAAAGCTAAAATATTTTAGGGCATGAATTTAAAAATTCATCAACGCGGCTGGCAGCTTTCAGGCATATGCTTATAACACAAGGCTGCTTGGTCTGTGAAATGCTTCTGTGTAAAAAGAACAGGATATATTCCTCAGACATCTGCTATAGGCCCCAAGTCAATGTAACCTTTTGATATACTCACTTGGGGCCTATAGCAGATGTCTGAGGAAAAACAGAAGTGGCTAATAGTTTCTCTATGGGCTCAACCTTCAGCTTTTTGTGACTGAGGGTACTCCCAAGTTATTTGTATGTTTTAGCTCTGGGTGAATCTTTTTTCCTAAACTGGCACAATTATAATTTTTAACATGAGAGAGCTTTAACATCTACAGTACCATGTAAATTACTAAGGCTAGACATGCACATACACATATGTTTGTGATTTGGACACCAGTCAATTTCTTATGCTATGGAATTCTTTTAGTTCACATCAACTAAATGTTGATTCTGATTCTGTGATGTTTTCATATGCATTAATTGGTTCTCAGATAGTGGTTTATTAGTAATTTGAAGAGCAATGCTTGATTTATTTGCTTCTGTGAAGGACTGTACTTATCTCTTGTGAATAAAATGTAATTTTTGCTCAGCTTTTAATTTGTTGATTGCACTACAGCCTGTGTTTCAGTTTTCAGCTCAATTAGGAGCAATGCAGCATCTAAAGGACCAGCTAGAGCAAAGAACACGCATGATAGAGGCAAATATTCATCGGCAGCAGGAAGAGTTGCGTAAGATCCAGGAGCAGCTTCAAATTGTTCATGGTCAAGGACTCCAGGTGAGTTATTGTATCACTTACAGGTTTCATCTGTAGAGAATTTAGGCATCTGAATTGTGTCTTGGGCACCTAATTCCACAACATGATTCTCCATATTCCCTGTCAGCTGCCACCTGGGCCATATATGTCTAAAATCCATAGTGTCTGAAGCTGCTGTTCCAGAGGTACCTGATGTTTTGCTTCCAGATGTATCTGGAAATGCCCCAGTGTTGAGCAGGTCAAGCCTAGCTTATCACTTAACCTAATTAAATGTTAAAGGATGGAGTGGTCATTCATTCTTGCAAAGTTTTGCAGCCATTAGAATATTAATCCAAAATCTGCAGGATCTGTTTTTCCCTTTTAGCTCTGAGGATGTTAAATCCATGTTTCTTTGCTTAAACTGTCCTATCAGGCTGAATGGCTCTACTTTGCATGGTAAGCTTGAAGGAGTTCCTGAGCCAGAAAGACTGAGGTCTAGAGGGTGCATTACTCAGTCTAGCAGCTGACTACATGATTTCTGGTTTTTTTTTAACCAGTATATATTTTTCTGTTTTTGTCATTGTCTTTTCAGTAGCTATGCTTGGAAGAAAAGAATTACCCTATTGGGTTTTTCTAGTTAAAAGACCCAAACAAAAAAAACCCCGATCACCTCAAACTAAGATATATTTTAAGGAAATAATTTAATATTTTCAGTCTGGATTGTGACTAAAGAATAGAAAAAATACTTCCTGGAAGTATTGAGAATGTTGCTTAAATTCTCTTGGAAGAGTAGGAGTTTCTGGTGTGTGCCATTTTCAGTTGTGTGATATTTAGTGTAAACATGCCAGCAGTAGACTGCCTTATTCATGTCTCAAAAGGAGAGATTCACAGCTCTCCTTTCCATGCAGTGTGGAGGGACCTTGTTCAGGAATGTGAAAACTAGAAAAAATACTTCAGTGATGCACATTCTGCCTTGTTGTAGACTTGGGCCTAACTTTTTGTAAAGAACATAATATTTTTGTGCTGAATTCTGTTTATTACAATAGTGTTGGAAAGTTCAGTTATAATCATTACGATTTCCTGATTGTGAGGGAAGATTACATTCTTGGTGCTATGCCTGGGTCTATTAATTCAGAGATTTTCTTCATCTGATTTAGTGTTACTGAGGAATGTCCTACAAAAAGAAGTGTCATTTCAAATATGTTTTGTCATTTCAAATGTGTTTTGTCTACAAATAGATAGTTGTAGGCTACATTACTGGTTAGTCTCTGAATGGTGCTTTTTCTTTAAGAACAAATATTGAATGTTAATGTTTAGAACTCTGGAAGTTAGGATTCTGATTCTTACCAGAAAGAGTTGAGTCTCTGAATACTGACCCTATAACTTGTGGAATTTTTTAAGATGTTCTTGCAGCAGTCAGCTTCTGGACTCAACTTTGGTTCTGTGCAGCTTCCTTCTGGAAATTCTTCAACTGTTCAGCAACTTGCGCCAATAAACATGCAAGGTCAAGTTGTTCAGACTAATCAGACTCAAAGTGGGATGAACACGGGCCATATAAATACTCCACACATGATACAGCAGCAGCCTTTGCAGAGTACTGCAACACAGGTAAAATTCCATTACTCAATTTGCTGGATTGAATATTTGCTCAAAACCACATCTGAAACACAACAACTTCCCTGACATTCGCCTGTATTGAACGAGTGTTTGAGATTGCTTTAAAAATCATTGGCAAGGGTATCAGCAAAAGCCTGATTTAATATTAAGTGGTAGCACGACAAAGTTTGTTGGCAAGATTCACTCTACTACTTACTGGACAGTTAAGGCACAATAAGAAAAAATCAGGCAGCAACAAAACCAAAAAAAATACAGGCAATCAAAACAGAAGTGAACTGAGAACTGTCTAGGGGTGTGTATGTGTGTGTCTGTGTGTGTGGTTGGGTGCATGTGACAAAACGACTGTGAGGGTAAAGATACAAAGGACCATGGCCTAAAAGCTTAACAGCATTCACCTTATACATTAAATGTAACAATGTAACAAATAAATAGCTCTTAACTTATACCATAAACTTAACCTTAACGATTTAGCAGAGGCATAACAGTCAACAGCATGTATTGCCACAGAAGCTGTTTCTTCATGCTGAATACTTCTAATGGGTTTGACCATTATGTGTATGAAGACTCCATAAACATCTGATCTCTGTGGTCACCCTCCTCTGTACCCTTTTCCACATTCCATACTTCTTTTTGAGATTTGTGGAAAGGCAGACTAGTGATGCATTTTACCATCTCAGCAGTAGGCTAGTTCCAGATTTTCAAGTAAGAAATTCTTGACGTTATGTGTACATTTTACTCTAAGTTGGGCACAGAGATGCTAAAGGAGTAAAAAGATAATTTTGAATAAACAGTGTGCAAATAGCTGAAAAATTTGCAAAAAAATAAATAACCTGAACAGAAAAAGAAGTTAATGTAAGATAGATGTCCAAGGTCAAGTCCCATCTCGAAATCCTCAGTCAGTAGAAATACTTGTGTACTTTGAATTAAGAATTCATTTGAATAGAAAAAAACTGGTGGTTTTGAAGTATGGGCTGTGACAGTGAGGAGAACAGCTGTAGTACCTGGCTATTTTCAACTTACTATCTCAAAATTTCTTTCCAGCATAATCAACAAAATGTACTTAGTGGACACAATCAACAGTCTTCTCTTGCCAGTCAGTCACAGAACACAGTCTCAGCACCTTTGTACAACACTATGGTGATTTCTCAGCCAACAGCAGGAAATGTGGTGCAGGTTCCCTCTAGCTTATCGCAGAACAACAACCAGAATGCTGCTGCAGTAACCACTTTTACACAGGACAGACAAATCAGGTAAATCTTTAAGACCTGTATTTAAGATAACTTTTTATAACAGTATGCTTATGCAGTTGCACCATATACAAAAGGAACTAAAATAGCATTAAAAAGATCATGTGATTTGTGTTTCAATGGTATGGATACAACCGTTGAAATGAAACTGCTCAAAGTAACATGTTTGCAGGCTTTTCAAAATCCATGTTGTTATAGCAAAATATGGCTTTGAGAAATCTGCTTTTCTCAAGTGTATGTGGTGCTTCATATTTTTTTTTCCTGAAGAGACTCCAAATGTCTTTTTCTATTAACAGATTTTCTCAAGGTCAGCAACTTGTAACAAAACTTGTCACGGCCCCAGTAGCATGTGGAGCAGTAATGGTACCAAGTACTATGTTTATGGGACAGGTGGTGACAGCTTATCCCACTTTTGCTGCCCAACAGCAGCAGACACAGACTTTGTCAATAACACAACAGCAACAGCAGCAGCAGCAGCAAAGTCAGCAGGACCATCAGCAGCAGCTCACCACAGTGCAACAACCAGCTCAGTCACAGCTGACCCAGCACCCCCAGCAGTTCCTACAGGTAATGAATGTAGAGCTGTCCACAAATTTTCCCAAGTTCTGGCACTTTCAGCATTACTAGGTTATCCAGGGGTGCTTTACCTGGAAACAAAGCACTTAAAATAGTAACCTGTGACAAAGCCAAATGCATGAGGTAAGTTTATTCTGTAGCAGTTCTCTAAAATCCTGTTACTTAGAGGAGAGGTGGTCTTTCCTGCAGTGTTATTCCATGCATTGTCCTGTCTTACATCTTTTTCCCTTTGAATTGCTGCTCTTGATTGACTGTAGGATGAAAAAACAGATGTTTTCTTTAAAACAGTTTACGTTTTCTTTCATTAACTTTACATGTTAATGCAGTAAAGTATGAGAGATGATGGTTGGTCTGGAAAGCAGCACACAGCCCAAAGCAAGACATGTCCCAATAATATGAGGCATGAAATTCTGTCTGGGCTGCAGGGGAGGCTGAGCAGCAAGTAACTTTGTAAGCAGAGAGTAAGAAGGGAAGAACCTTGTTTTAGTGGAGAAAGAGGAGAGATTGGGTCAAAAGAGAAGGAAGACAAACCCAAGCAGTTTAGAAATAGGAAATCTCTAAAAGAAACAGAAGGTAGAAGGAATTGATGGGGAAATCTGTTGCCATTTGTTGATTCCAGTTAATTACTGGAACATGCATCACCCAGCATCTGGAGTTGGTAAAGGAGATGTAGTGGTGGCTAGAACACTAGAGAGGCTGTTTAGCAGGTTGGTAGTGTCTCTGTCTGTTTCTAAATTTAAAAGTTTGTACAATTTTGACTTAATTCTGGTGAAACAGATACATGAAATATGAAGATCTCAAAAGGTCTGTGCCTACTCTAGAATTTCACTCTAGGCGAAAGTCCAGTATTTTTATATAAACTATTAAAGTGCTAGAATTTGAAGTGAAGTTAATACTCTTTAAAAAGGACAAAAGTGCCTTTTCTACTTCTGTTCACTGGGCATTTTACAGTCTGATTGTGTAGGTGCAGCAGTTGATGTACTTTACTCTCTGCTGCAGAGCATTTCAGGATTTAGATGTCCTAGTGCATTTGTACCTATCCTTCATTGTTTTATTCAGTAATCTTTCTTTGGTGTTCCAAGAAGAATACTGTTAAAACCAAGTACCATTTCCCACAGTAATAAGTCTCCTTCAGAGGGATGTTGGGGTCTGCAAATGCACCATTTTCTTTGACTGTGCATTTTGTCTGTGGGGAATAAATGTGATCTGTGCCAAATCATGCACTATTTTTTCATTTGACTGCAATGACAGCTACCTACACTTACTCAAATAGATTCTTTACACCCTGCTATGCTTTTGTGGTGTGAAATGAAGACAAATTGCCATGTATTCCTACCTATCCCCACAGAAATTCCAGAGACCAATTACAGCTGCTTTATTAATTCAGATGCACTGGTTAAATGTATTAGTATGAACAAATCCTTGCATTGTTTGCTCAGCTTAACTGGCCAAATCTGAAGTTTATTTTGATTGAACCCTCGTAAAAAGTTAAAAAGCAGCTGGGCCCGTGTTTCTCAGTGCAGCAGGAAAAAATAATTTTTTTCTATTTTCGTGTTTTAGACATCCAGGTTACTTCATGGAAATCAGTCAGCTCAGCTTATTCTCTCTGCTGCTTTCCCACTACAACAAAGCACTTTCACTCAGTCCCACCACCAGCAGCATCAGTCTCAGCAGCAGCAGCAGCAGCAGCTGTCACGACACAGAACTGACAAGATGACTGATCCTTCCAAAGTTCAGCCACAGTAGTGTGGGCGCTGCCTCTTTTTCAAGCAAACTGCCAGGAGGGGCTGCCCCACAAACAGTTGCACTGAAGCTACAGAGGTAACAGTATGAAGGCTTTCTAGCACTGTGGTGTTGAGATCTACTTCTAACTTCTGGAATCTGTTAAGAAAAGCCACAAGATGATGATGGGGACATGGCCAACTTTGAGCGTTGCCCCAGTTTCTGTGTTCTAAAGGATTTGCTGCCATGTTGTAATTTGTCCAGGTGAAATCTCCAAATGTGACTGAAAAGAGAGTGATGCTGAAAATATTGGTATTTTTATCAATCCTGTACATTTTTAAAGTATTAAAACGGACATGGAGCAATTGTTTTGAATTAGCAGGAAAAAATGCCAGAAATATAGTCCAAAAACCATCTAATTTTTTTTCAGATGATTACAGGACAGTAAATATTTTGAAAATGTTGTGTGAAATCCAGTTCTCTGTTGTACAGATGCTGTAAAATATTGTGTATATGTCTGCATAAAAGGAGAAAGAGCAAAATATTTTATATGATGCATGAAAATGTAATCTGTTATTTGTAGGTTTGAATATGTTTCCCTAAATTCTCACGCCATACTCAGACTAATGTTTTCCTCTGTTCTACCCTTTTGTTTACAACATGATGCATCATTATTTTCACCCTTAATGTGGGCACAAGTCTCTTGTTTGTGCTTTGTCCGTGATGTCAGGGTTTGTTCGGTGAGGTATAGTGTGTTGATAAGTTGACTGCTTGAAGTTAAATTATTGATGAAGCTGTTTGAACTGGTGATCATGCATCAGGGTTCAGGACATTCAGATTCATAAATATCATCCATCATTTCATAATGAATTCATCATTTTATTTGAAAAATAGGAATTTGCACTGCTTTCTTGCGGATGGTTTGGAATTTTATTCCCCAAAGCTATCTTTTGATATAGTTCATAGTTGGAAATATTTATGTAAAAGGTTTAAAAAAAATGACAGTAATTTTCAAGAATGTTTCAGTTATAGGAGTAATTTGCACAAAAATATATTTACATTTAATAACCTTTTGGGCACTTTTTAACCACTTTCTCTGTGGTGAGAATTGTAACTTGTTAAACCATGTTGGAATCTTTTTATTCTCCTTCAAAAATTAGTCAGAACTAATTCAGGGTCATTTTAACAACAACAACAAAACCCATAGTGCCTTGATTTTAATTCAGGTGATAATGTTGAACATCTTGAATTACAATGTCTTGAATCTGTAACCATTTTCAATTTTGAAGTCTTAGCACATTGTCAACCAAACTTGTGTATCTACTTCATAGATATTTCTGTATTGTGTTAATTTAACAGTGGTCTGAGTTGAGACCATGAATATTTTTGACTGGTACTCCCCCTCAGACAGTAGCCAGAAATACAGGAGTCTTAAAAATCTCAGATCTTTAAGGTAATACTCTTAAAAAAAAAAAAAAGGAAAAAAAAAAAGGAAACCTTAAAAGACAGGACTCCTTTTGCAGAAGGAAGAATAATAAGCTGATGTTTTAAAATTGTTTTTGGAAGCATTTAAAGTGTGTTTTGGGGGAGATCATGATTGCATTTAACACTACCAGGTATTGATTTAAGAGCTATCACTGAACTAAGACTTCAGAAGGCAACTTCACTTTATAAAGAAAATAAAAAGTTCCAACAGATATGTGCTATTTAAGTAAACGTTGGTAGGTTTTTATGGTACTAGTTTGTGGAAACCAGAACTTGAGAGGAAAATTAACAAATGCTGATAGATCTGATAATTAATTAGAAACAAAAACCAGTAAAAGCAGTTAAAACTAGTGCTAGGGAGAGAAAGCTGGATTAATCTTGAATACTAGGGAGGAGTTGAATGAATGTAACAAATGGTGATGGTCTGTTTTGTACTGTGGAACAGTTTGATTGTATTACTGGATGAACCAAACCCGCAGGAGGTAATACCAGTTTAGCCAAGCCTTTGATGCCGTTGGTTACGTTTTGGGGCCAGCCTTTGCCTCTGCACGTGTCCCAGCATTAGACCTTTGTTATTCCCCAGTCATAAAGCAAGTGCTTGGCACCAAAAAGCCAAGCAGTGAACAAGGAAGGAGAGTGTGAGAAACTCAGTACCAAAGATAATCCGATTGCTCTCTGCTCCAAAACGCCTATTGCAACCTGGAGCAAGGAACAGATGCCAATACCAAACATAGCAAGAAACACTTTCCCTTCTTTAAAGGGATTTCTGGCATTCTTCAGACTGGGATAATTGTCAGAGACTTGTTTCTCTAAAGTTCTATGTAAAGAAATCCTGCCTTGCTCTGCTATCCCTACCACTCCATTCCACCTGTTTCTATATGAAGCTGCATTGACTAGAGGTCTGTGCTATCACTTCTCTGCCTGATGGAAAATAGGTTAGATACAAATTTCTTTAACCAATTACAATAAAAATATAGTGCTAAAAAATAAAACTGGGAGAGCTTTAATAGTGCTGTTAGAACTACTGAATAATGGTAAAATAGGTGTATTAAGCTATTATACTGAGAATTACAGAAATTAGAGATACCAGCCAGACAGTTAATGATGCAGCTTTTTATATAAAAAAATTTCAGCTTCTCTTCCCATTCTCCCCTCCCCAGATACTCTGGTGTGCTGCTATAGGTCTGTCAGTAAAAAGGCTAAACTAGGAGAGAGAAATCAGATTATGGGATACCGTGGCTGCTGAAAGAGAGTAGAGAAACATATGCTTTGATCAAGAAGCTTTTTGTAGCCTCAGAGAGAGGTCATTCAATTACAGAACTACCAGCTAGTAGAGAAAGGATAGAAGATGGAGAAATTCTAAGGAACTGGAAAAATACAGCACACATTTGAAGAATTCCTGACGTGAATCAGGTGAACTTCACAAAGGCAAGTGTGTAGAACTTAGTCCAGATTGTGTGCAAGTATGGAGATGCTTTGTTCACAAGTAGTGACTAAAAAGTGTATATTAACAGATCTGCAGCTTTCCCTGTTGCTGAATCAATTGCTGAACTGTCCTTGAGTTTTAGTGAGAAGAGGACCAGGCTGTTGCCTCTTTCTTAATTAGCCTTTTGCTTCTGCTGGACTCATTTACTACAGACTTACTTGCAACATCCTGATAAGTAGCATGACAGTGAGTGCTGTGATGCTGCAGGTTCTGGAGCAGAATTGTTGCAGAATGACTCTGACAGAAGGGAAGGGGTCTGTTAAGGGGAGGATTGTGAAGAAATGGGCTGGTGATACATAATGGAGTGAAGAGGATGGCATTTGCATGGAGTTTAGGAGATAGACATTGTCTGCGATGGGTGAGGCTTTGAAGAAAAGTGTTTGGGATAACTTCAGAGAGAAAAAGAATATAGCTATTTTTATATTATATTTAATATATATTATATTTGTATATAAATATGAAAGGATTCTAGTAGGAGCTCTCCATATGCCTTCCACTTCATCTAGAAGGTTTACCTTCTGCACTACGGTTCCAGTGTGTCACCACCTTCTGTGGGCATCTTGCCTACTGCCAAACACCAAAATTAGTAACCCAGCATCCTTACAAGAAATAGGTTTCATTTCAGCTTTATGTAAAAATGAATAAAGTAAAGATATATCAGGCAGTTTTTCACAGGAAAAAGAAATTATCTTAAGACTTAAATAGCACTTTCTCTTTTTGGTTGGGGGTTGTTTTTTTTTTTTTTTTTTTTTTTGTTTTGTTTTTTTTTTGGAGTAATAACAAGCACTTTACTGAAAAGACTATTTGAAAAACAGTTTATTTCTTTAGTCAGTGAAACTGTTAAAAAGGGGGCGCAACAAGGAATAACATGTAAAACTGTCAAGAGAGACATTTCTGGAAAATGTTTCTTTATTATGGTGATCCTTGAGGTTTAAAGTGCAGGATTAAAAAGGCTTCTAAAACTAGTTGCCTTTGTGTTTTATATGGCCAGGGGAAGGGATTAGGGATGATAGCTTCCTTGGAAGGAGGCTTTTTAAGTTGCACAGTTGCCTATGAGAGAGAATCATCTGGAGGCTCATTTGCCTGCTCAGTAATTCTAAGTGTCCCTTAGGATTATAAATTGTGTGAAAATGTTATTAAGGTTTAAAGATGTGGCCTTTTTCAAATGTTAAAGTCGATTCAAGAATCATTTATATTTTCAGAGATTTAACCCAGGTATTGTTATGAGTGTTTTAAATGTCACGGCATCAGGAGATGTCAAACGTGTCAGATTCATAAGCTTCTCTATTTGAAATAATTATTAAAATTAGATGTACAGTCAGAGGGCTGGAAAATGGTTATTTTGATTAAAAGGGAAAAGAGACTAGTTTTAATAATTAACCTTTTATTTTTTTACTTATCCCTGGTGGAAAAAATTGAAGAGAATGAAATGAATTTGGATTAAAAAAGACATATTTAAACAAATCATAGTAGATGAGACAGCTGTGAGAGAACATTTGAAATTGTCTTGGTTGTCCATGAGACTGGGTAGTTGCTTTTTCACTACCATGATTTTTAACACTACATTCCTTGTCTTTTTCTTTTTTTGTCTTTTTTAAACAGGTGATTTTAAACTCTGCGATATTTCATGCTATGCCATCTGCATGAATTTTGCCAGCATGATATGCTATATTCAAAGAAAGTATACCTAAATAAAAAGGAAGGGGGGGGGAACAAAACACTGTGTCTGAAAAAAATATTTTATGGCCTAATAACAGAGACCCCAGCTATGACTGAGAGATGCTGCATTAATAGACAATCAATCAATGGGTAATTATTTATGAAACGCTTTTGGGAATGGTCTTAAAGATGTAACTGCTTTGAAAGCAGTCGGTGAGCTGTCTTTTTCTAACAAGAAAGGTAAAAAATATTTATTTTCAAATATATCAGATTGAATTTTGAGTTTTTAAGCAGTGTTGATTTCACAGTGTCTTGGGTTTCAGCTTTGTTTTGTATTTTTTTAACTGGCATTAGATTTATATACGTAAAAGAAAACAAACAGAAAAACCCTAGTGCCGTTCATATTGACGTCAGGAAATGTAGATACAGTTCCCTGGTGTTCATGTGACCATTACTAACTGTCAATTTTTTAACTGAATAAATGTAACTCATATAAAATTTTGCTTTCTGTAGCTTCTAAGGTTCTAGAGGTTTTTTTCTGAGTTGCTTGATGTCAGTTTTATCCAAGTTTCACAGTGAAGCGCTCTTACCCTTCCCACGACTGTACCAAAGGCACTCTCTCTCCCCCACCCACAGAACTGACTTGTGAGAAGTTGCTTGATGTCACTTTTATCTTCTCTCCCCTACCCAGACAAATGACTTGTGAGATTTCAGTAAAATGCATACTGTATTTTTTCCTTGTCTTCTCTCTGTATCTCTTTATAAACTGATGCCCCACTCTAAAGGCTAGAGACCTCTGATTTGTGTATTTACATTACTGCCTTGGAATTTACTCACACAGCACTTGATTGAGTGTGCACAGCTTAAAACTGCTTTCATACCCTCATGTCTACAGCTCCTGTTCTTGCCAAAGGATGGAGAGCACTGCAGCAGGTTTGGTTGGGCAGAGCCCTTCCCTCATTTTCTGTCATGGGCAAAACACGCCTCTCTAAATTGGTGCCACTCCCCTCCCGGGGTATTTCTTTTGCTGGTGAAATGTCAAAGAACAATATTTTAAAAGGAGGAGAGGTGGTCTGAAATGTTGGCTGTGCCACTGAGCAAGGAAGCAGAGACTTGCATTTAGCTGCAGCCACAACTTGTTGAGAGGATGTAGCTCCTGCCTGGAAGAGCTGTGTGATAATATGTAACCTGTCTGGGTGGTCTGACCCCCTTTTCACTGATCAAAGTGTAAACATTAATAATTCCACATTAATTAAATGTTTAGGGAAAGGAGGATGGGAAGAAAATTGTGTAATTGAAATGGAATGCCTGGAGAAAATTATAAATACAGTTAGCCATTTTTACAGTCTGCAGTATTTTCTTTTTCTGTAATATCACACTGGATGCCCAGAGGAAGATACTGATCTTTTGCCTTTGACAATTAAATAATACTTGTGCAAGCTGTAAATTACTTCTATATGCCATAGGGCCCCTACTCCCCAGGAGTGAAACAAAATCAGCTGTAGAAGTGCTGTAGCTGTAGTTAAGAACTGTCACCACCCATCAGTGATAAGACTGAGAGCATGTAGCAAGCAAGATTGTCAATTTTCTTAAAATTGAACTTTGGAAAGAGCAGTACATTTTTCTGTAAACTTATCATGAAGAAGAGTGGTAATCACAACTGCTGCCACACCTGTAGCAATTCTTTTAAATGGTATTTTGCTGTCATGCAAGCTTGAAAACAAAACCCATGTTTATAAGAGAATGAAGCTGTTAAGTACTTGTAAAGATTAACAATCCAAAGGTTGGTTGTACTTCTGACTCAGGCATTAGTGATACAAATTCCAGATTTCAGCTGTTTGAGGGTAACATAAAATAGCAAGAGCCTTACTAGTGTTCTTTGTAGCACAGTCTATCACTGTCAGACCCTTTACAAGTACATTTCCTTGGGAAGGAAAAGGAAGTAATCCCAAAGAAACATACAGCTATCCTAGTGCCCACATCAATGGGAAATGCTGCAGAAATGACCCTGCATCTCCATTAGCAGAAGCCTGTAGCTGCAACGTGCCAAGGGTGCTGACTTCAGGGGCTATACAAGGTCATCTCTGGAAAAATGCCACGTCAGTACAGCAAGTGCCATTACATCATTATTTCCATGGCTCTGGAAATTAAGAATAACTCAGATTATATTAGGATGAAACAGTCTGATCCTCTTGATTTAAGATGGGATTTTGTTTTTTACATGCACAGTATCTGGGACAAACATGGAAGTACACTGAACTACCAACCTCTTTCTAGAAACAAAACTGCTCACGTAAATCCGGTGGCAGCGTTCCAGAGCCAGCCTGGGCAGGAGGGGCAGCTGAGGTGAGGGAGAGCCTGTATGGCAGCAGGCTGCCTCTTGGAGTGCTCAGGGAACACACACAGCCCCTCTCTCACTTCCAGGCTTTCCAGCTTGGTGTCTGACTCACAGATCTCAAAACAGCAAGCCCAGGCACCAGCCCAGCACACACACACCTGCTGGCCTTACCCCAGCAGAGTGGGTTTGCTGGTGATCTGGTCCTGTACTTTGGTTCAACAGGTTTCCTGTAAAAAACTTTGTCCTGGATGGAAGATTAGTTTACTTTAGTCTTGGCTTATTGCACTTTGCCATATACAGAGTAATGAGACAGGCTTTAGCTAAGAATTGGGAATAGACACCTTTGAAAATAACAACCACAAGCTTTTCTCATTGTAAACATCTCAGTTGATGTAAGAATTTTCCATCCCAGTAGAAATGACCATCATCTCCATTTGACTCCTATTTTGTGGAAGTGAGGAATTGCTGGCAGAGTGCACTCACAAACCTCTGCTGGTGCAGTGTGCAGGCAGAGCTGTAAATTCCTGTTTTGGATGCTGCTTTTGAGGTTCCTTTGGCAGCAACTGCAGTCAGCTGCTCTCACGCCAGCAGGGAAAGCTGCAGGATGGATGGAAACCTGTGGTGGACAGTTATATATAACCTGTTTCCCATGTTATAGACACAATAGTTTGCAGAGCCTTCCCTTCAGCACTTGAGCTCTCACTCACTGCATTCCACATTCTCCAGCTACAAAAGAACAAGAAAGCACACAGGATTGTGGCAATCGAGGCTTCAGCTGGTTACATTATATATAAATGCCCATACATTCTATATTGCTTATATCTCAAGTATCCAGGTATTTTGAGACAGAACAGCAGCACACCCCTCTCCCTGGCAATGTGCTACAACAAGAAGTCTGATAAAAACTGCTAAAATCCAGCCCCTGCACCAGCCAAGAGGTGAGAGCTGGCCAGGGTGCAAGGCCTTTGAGACACTGTGGAGGGACAAGGCCAAGTCTGTGCTGGAAACTGCACAGCAGACAGCACTGCTAAGAATATGTCACTGGATCCCTCCATCACCTTCAACACTCTTTCCTTATGTTCCAACTCAATTCTTTAAACTGTGAAAAATGTTAAAAAAAACTCGACAATGTTAAATCACTGTCACTAGTAGCAACTACTGAAGCACCTTTCAAAGCTTTTACTAAAATTTCACAAGCTATCTAATTTCATGCTAGACTTCCAACAAGTCAATGTTCGTGCTTAAAGAAAATAAAAATCAAAAAGTTACTCTAACAGCACAATTCAAACTAACCTGCCTAGCTGCTCTTTGAGAGCAGCCAAATACATTGCTATGACTGGGCAAAAGCAGTACTTGGCATCTGTGTAAGTTCATAATAGTAAAATACAGATGTGGATATTGCAGAGATTTGTTCTGCAAATAAATGCTTACCTCTACAAACAACCTCTTGAAGAGCTTCATTCTTCTGTTGATCCTGTGATCCTAACTTTTCATATAAAACATAGCATTAAGCAGCACACATAAACTTTGGGAAGCTTCTACAATTAGAGCATGGGTTGGCTTTTTTCTACATGGTGAACTGGGTTGGCTTTTTGGATTTTCAGAAAAAAAATCCTGTGTCTTTTCCCAACTACATTTAAAAAGAAAAATCAGGTGGCACCACAGTTACCCTGCCTGGGAGGGATCTGTATGAACGTCCAGTGGCACCACTTCTGACTAACATAACAAGAAGTTACATTAATACAAACAGAAGTTTAGGCTCTTCCTTGTGGATCCCTGTTCCTGCCTTGTTTTAACGTGACCTCTGCTACAAATGCACTCCCTACAGGAGGTGAAGCTCATCATGGACAGTGTGGGTTCTTAGACTGTGGGAAAGAAGAGGCTACAGGTTTGGCTATAAAGTTTGCTTCAAAAGAAAACAAAAAACCCTAACCAACAACACCCCTTAAAACAACCCAAAAAAAAAAAACCAAACCACCAAAGCATAACAGTTCCTTTGGGCCATGTAGACCTGGAGCATGTAGACCTGGAGCCCAAAATGGCAGCCTGTTTTCATACCACTGTGCGTGCCTGGCATTGTACTGCTATGGTCTTTAGAGAAATGTGGCATTAAGGGGTTTTCTGGAAAGAGAAACCTAAGAGAAGGATTAGGGGCTGTTCTGTTTCTGATCTACAAATGGAATGGTCAAATCTATAATGCTCCATTCGTACTTCAGCTTCACAAAAGGGCAAGTTCATAATATTAGACACCATGTCTACTATCTTCCAAGACTGTTATAAGGCAGATCTTAGTGGGTTATAAAGGCTCAGAATCCAAATCACCACTGGAGAGCAGAGATAAGCGTGCATTTCTACAACCCATATATCTTCAGTGCTCAGCATTTTCAAAGGCTTCATAACGCTGGTATTTATCAGAAGCAAAAATAAATTTAGTAAACTTTCCTCACCTAAAGTACATAATCACTAGGTAAACCTTTGTAGCAGGAACTATGGCAGCCATCAAAACCAAACTGAAAATAACACAGATTGAGACACTATGTTTTATTAATACTCTTCCAGATTACATTTCTATTCCTAAAAAGAAAAATCAGGAATACATCTAAACCTAAGAATACCATTACTTCTCAGTCCTGGGAATAGAACATGGTTAGGTTGGACCACTTCATTACTTTCTGTATACCTTAATATTAAAAAAAAAAATAAAAAAATTCAAATAATACTAGCTCCAGCCAGATTGCATATTGAACACAGTAGGTTGTTAATCCCCCCACATCAATTTCCTGATAAAAATCCCTGATTAAGAAGTTTTCCCTCTAAATTAAGTTTATAACATTCTCTGTTGGTTGGCTCAGCCACTGGATGGCGTAGGAACTGCTCCCAGGTTTCTTGTTGCTTAGATTATCCAGCCTCAGGTGCACCATGGAACCACCATCTTTGGAGGTGGAGCCAGCAGTTTTCTCCTTAACACAGTCTGCTTCAAGAGGCCTGAAGAATCAGCTCTTGAAAAAACCAGGAAAGGTGGTTGTGTGTAGGGGAAGAAAAGAGGAATTCTCAACACTTCGGACAGTTGATCCTTGAGCTGAGCCAGGTCCAGCAAGTGAGAAAACCACTCAAATCCCACCATGGGAGCAGGCACCACAGCACAAACAAACCAGACAATAAGCAGATCTCCAGTGCAGAAGCTGTCCATAAATGCATCAGTCCCATGAATCATCTGCTATAAAAAGTTCAGTGTCTCATCTTCAGCATTGTTTAACTAGAATTCTGTACATTATATACAAAAATGCACAAGGATAACTGCTTGATGCTTCCAATCCTTGTTCTTTTACAGCAATGAAAAATTTTAAAAACCAGAGTCTGGACTTATAAATAGTGCAGAAAATGCAAAGGCTAAGAAGACAATGCCTCCTATGATTGTCACTGAAAAGAAAACACAAAACAAGAAG